CACAAACATTCATATAGCTCACCGCGTTCGACCTCTTTCTTCTTCCCCCCCTGCCCTTGGTCCATCACGGACACTGCGCTGTGCAAAAAATGGCTGCCCTTGCGGCGAAGGCATGCCTGTCTGGATCGCCTGTGGGGTAGCCGCCTGGTGAGCGCTAGTCCCCGCCGTGCCGCCTTCGTTGGTGCTGATATTTCCCAAAAGTGCTTGCCTCACATATAGAGGGTATTCCGACCAGCTGCTTCTGATGCGTGGGTCGCTAATATATGCAGGGCAGACGTCCATGTTGATGAGATCCAGGCGGTGGCGAGCGGTGGGCGGCTGAGTGCGCGCAACGCGATGCGCGGTGGCGTGCTGGCCCGCGAGCGCGTTCTTTGGCGCTGTTTGTACCCGATATAGCCCATAATACCCATAACCTTCTATATTATTCCATACAAGACTGGCTCGTGAGCTTACATCTGTAGTAGACAAGACCATGTAATATATATCAAGCCTCGAGCCAATCATATGTTCAAGCCTCAAACACGAGACCTATATGACCCCTAGAGGGGCGCATCTACTCGAACCTCAACCCGGAGAGCTATCAACATCTTAATTAGATGATCTAGTTCAACCCCAACCTTTTAACCCAAAGCTATCTATTTACAGGTATCATGATTTGGTCAGAGCGCAACTTTCTCATCAGCTACTACTCCGACCACTCTGCGAATACACACTTATTTGCAAGCACTCGCCCCTGTACCAGGAGGGTGTAAAACGCGGTGAATGGCATCGTATTTTGTCTCAAAAGCCCTGGGGGACGTGCAGGTCACCCGTACCTCTTTTCCTCGACTCTTCCATCACCGGCATGCCACAGAATAACACAACTACCGCAGATCAGTCCAGGCCAAATTGGTCCCTCGTGCACCTTTGCGCGGGACAATATTCGCCACCGCGGCCGAGGCCCGCAGTGAAGTAAGTGTTTTGTGGCTCGTAAACATGACACTCTGATTATACGCACACTCACTAGATCGAGTAAGCTCATCAGCAATCACGACAAGTCTGCACGCGGCATCGCACCGCTGTACCGCCTGTTCATACAGGCCAACGCAGCCTTCTCCGTCCGTCAGGTTCCATATTTCCCGGGCAATGAGGGCTAGGGCATGCCGGTGTACGTGTAATCGTCTCTGTTCAGGTGTCCTGCGTTGACATCGGCGTCCTCTGTACCCTCCCTACCTCCACGACTTTCGCGCTTCACCAAAGCACGCTAACATTGTGTACTTCTGCGGCGCGTACACCAGTCCGAGCAGCAGCAAGTTCAAGGTGCTCATGGAGTACTGGGAGGGCGGCTCGCTCGAGTCCCTCGGGAAATGCACGTCCTCACGCAGCAGCTCTTTTGTCAGGGCCTCAAGAGTCGTGATCGCCTTGCGCGCCATCACCACGTTCATCCGGCGGTCGCGCACCTTGTACACCGCGCCGCACACGCCCTTGCCCAGTCGGGCCAACTCCTCGAGTGTATCATCAGACCACTGGTCAAATTCCTCGACTGTCTGCCGCAGGTTGTCCATGGACAACGCCTGCGGGGGCGGGTTCTGAGGCGAGATCGTGTGGTCCGAAGGGCGGATGGTGAATGGTCACTTTGCTGACATGCGCGTTCCTCTCAGCGGCTCTGCATGGGACACTAGCTTCGGGAATGCCAAACCTCAAGAATGGTCTCGACTACATTTGGCACCACCCGGATAGAGTGCGCGACGATAGCAAACATGTATGTATAACACTTGCGTCGGATTGGTACTGACAAAATTGATGTGTTGCAGGTCGATAGTCGCGTCCGCGCGAGACGTCGTGATGCTTGTAGGAAAGTTGCTCCTTGCGTTCTCGGCCTGATTCGAGAATACCATCTCACGAAGACAATGTATGACATTTAGTATCCGTTTTATGGCCCAATACAACGCACAGTAACATCCAAGACGAGCGAAACGGTAGGGATACAGTGGGGATACCGAGAACACGAAGTAGTAATACACGCTGGGGTATGCAATTGGAGAGGCCGAGACACGTATGGGAGGTATGTAGGGTTGCCAAGAATGCAAGAAGCGAGGGAGATGAATGCAGTGTACTAGGAACGATAGCAGATATTAAGGGTGAGTGGGGTGATTACGCGAATATACGAAGTCCGGACCGCAAGAGCCACGGGAGGCGCGGAGATGAGAAGATGGCGCAAAATTAGGGATAATGGCAAGGAGAACAAACAATGGGGCGGGATGCTGGAAGAAGCCAAGCGAATGTGAGTCCTGAAATGTAAGGGCGGAGCCACCTTCTTTGCCTCTTCTTTTGTCGTCCTTCGTCGACACGGTGATGTCTGTTGCAATCCGAGGCAAACAGGCACCAAGTGCGTATACAAGCCGGAGTGCGCTGCGCCCCTGACGCCGTCGCACCTGCGACCAGGCTCCTCGAGCTCACGCCTTGTTCTCCATGACCTTGGTCATCGCCGCGAGGACGACATCCCACGCGAGATCCATAACGCCCCACAACTCGGCGTCAAACACGCCCAGCGCGCAGACGTTTTGCCACAGGCCGTTGATGACCTTGATGTGAGCCATCAGCCCGCTGAGCGCCGCTTGCGTCGAGCCCCCACGCTGGAAGGCCGCGCCCGCGAGCGCGGACGCAAGACGGACGAGGCGGTCGGACGAGAACTGCGCGACGTAGACGAGCTTGTTCGAGCCCATGGAGCTGCTCGAGACGGAGACCTGCGGGAGCGAGGATGCGAGCGAGGGCAGGAGGGATGCGAGGAGCGTGTCGGGACGCATCGTGTGCAGATATGCGTGCAAGAGGGCGTACGTCTCCGGGCTGGGGACGGTCAGAGGGACGATCGGGAGGGTGAGAGCTGCGCGGCGGCCAGCGCTGCGGTGCGTTTGCGGGAGCGGAGGGAGCAGAGAGCAGTGCACGGCCATGACGAGGGCCGAGGCGGGGAAGAGGGGCACGGTCGTGGAGGGCGAAAGGGAGGACCTGTCCGCGAACGTCGCCATGGTCGGGGTGGTCGCAGACGAGCGGGAGGAAAGGATGGCAAAGACGTGCGTCGGGAAGGCAGACGCGTCGGGCGTGTTCGAAGACGGCCGGATGGGCGCATCGATTGAAGGCGGTAGGTGCGCGCACGGGAGCGAGCTGGGGATCGTCAGGAGGGACAGAGCGGTAAGCGTCCTGTTGCGAAATCACAATTAGCCTCCAAACGTCGCAGGGATAGCGTCACGGAATTGCGTACTCATTAGCGTTGCCAGCAAGCATCTTTTTAATGTATTCGAGTGGAACGCTCGCGAGACCCGGGTCGAGACGCGCGACGGCGTCACGAGCGGGCTCGGTGAAGCTGGGTCGCGCGAGGCGGCGCGGGATGTTGAGCTTGTGTTCTACGGGGTAAGAGTACTGTGCGGAGGAGAGGTTGAGGGCCTCGGGAGCAGCATGGCGAGAAGCGACGTGGAACATGTCGAAGGGGGCTCTTGGGATAGGAACGTTAAGGCGAGAGGAGTGAATTATAGGCGGAAGCTACTAGGACCGGTATAGTCGGACTCGCCGGGCGGACAATAGTGTATGTCGGTGGGCGCGAGGAGGTGATCGACACGAGATGCGCGTGAGGCGGCGGTCTGGAGAATGGAGAGGCGCGATGCGATGATACTCGGCGCGCGAGGCGTTGTTGTTGTGCGTTGCGACGTCGATCCCATTGCGAAAGACTCTTATACTTCGCTCACTTTTCAGAGTGCCCGTTGGAGAATAAGGCGACGTTCGTGCAGAGTCTGCGCACATGGAGGCCAGGAATAAGAGAACAGACAAATCTGGCGAGTCGTTTGTGTTCGTTCAGGCATCACCGCACACGTGGCGCTTAGGCGCTGCCTCCAAAAGGGTATGTTTGTCGGCTGGCGAGCCCTTCAAGGCTTCCCTGGGATCTTGACCAAGATCCAACTCTATGCCCCATCAGCGACGCTGCACCTCCCCGTCCGCAAAATGAGCAGCACTGTGGATTTTCTCTGTAGCCATCGCGACTTGGCTTCTGGCGGACGTCCTTGTCCTTGTACTTACCCTTGGCTCGCTATCACCGACTCGCGCTATCCTCGAACCTCGCATGTCCTTGTTTTTTCCCTCTTGCCTTCTTCGTAAATCTCACGTTTGTAGTCTCGTTGACAATGCTTGATGCCATACGCGTGGGTTGGATCGCCTGCACTAGCGTTTTGATGAACCGCCCAATTCGGTGCGTGTAGACGGTTTCGTCTGATGACGGTACGTTTGCCTTTTCCACCTCTCCCACCTGACCGAGGAGTGTGGCCGAACGTGTGGGTATGTATGTATGTATCTGGCCATGCTTCTGAGAACAACACTGCGCCACATGAGAAGCGACGACTCGGTGGAACGTGCTCGTCTCGATGATTCGTCGGGGAGGCGTTCGTTCCACCCACACCGCGTCGAGCTCAGTGGCCTTGAGCCAAAGTCACGAATGTTCTGGAAAAGCTTTGATTTCGCGGGACCACGCACACTCGTGCGTCCTCCCGGAGAACAACGCGAGCCAGATTGACTCACAGGTGCGTTCCTTCAACTTGCCGGTATCCTAGATGATTGACTCCAGGTACGGCTTCTCTACTCATCTCCAGTTAATCCCATCGAATCCGTCGTGATCGAGGGCTGTCCTCGCAATGATTCAATGCCTAGGGCGCGTCCCATGCTCAGGATATGCTCGCGGCGCTCATCGCCGGACCATACCCTTCAGGGCTAGCCCTCGCCACCGAGCCGTGCAGAAGTTCCGCAGAACGCTGTGTCCAGAGGTATGTTTCGTTGCATTTCATACCACGATTCCACTACGTCGGGTTGATGGCGTTGTAGTGTTTGGTTTCTGATAATGGTCTAGTTGCCTTCCACGCGTATTCGCTAGATGCTCGCGCAAAAGGAATTACAAGTCTCCGCGAAAACAGGTGGCGTCGGGCCCTGCATCGCTCTGCGATACGGTAGTTCTAGAGCGAAGTCGGGCAGTCGACCACCCATGGGCACGCGTGGTGTCTACCTGCGTGCTGAGAAGCAGACTCGGAGCACTATGGTGGCAGGCTGGTTAAGCATCTCCCGGGGACTAGGCGCTCGTCCGCTCCGAGTACCTCATATATCGTCCGTTGCGGCTTGCGGCTACGGAAATAAGAGTCTCGATGAGTCCTCGTGCGTCTTTGAAAGGGGTATGACCTTGAACGGATGGCGCCAATCCATAAGAGGCTCGCCCCGCATCTCTCGCCGTCATCCTCCCATCCGGCTGCCGCTGATGTTCGCGCCCACAGCGGTCCACGACCCTCGACTGCCATGGACTAGTTTCAGATTGATCGCAATGTGTCCAAGCCGAGGGCCCGCGGTGGTGCGCTAAGAGCAATCAGGCCGAAACTTCGAGCCGTCGCATCGAGGCCAGTTCGAGGAGGGCGACTAAAGCTAATGGGCACGCAGCTCGGAGCACGTTTCGGCCCAAAGACTAGGTTGTCGGTGAGCGTGCTAGCCTCGAAAGCCTGGACTCGAGGGGATTCTATGTACGTCGGCTCGAGAGTTGCAGCTCCCTGCGAGTTGTGGGGGGCCCGGGCGCGCCATCGGAGCCGAAATGAACGTTGTTGTGGATGGTGGGGAGAAATTTGGTCTCTGGGTTCATCCAGGAGCTCAAACAGGTCCAAAGGATTTGATGCCGTCTAGACTTGCCTTGTACAGCGTCATGAGCGCGGAAAGGGCGACCAAGAGATGCGAAGGAGCGTGTGGGATATTCGAAAGCTCTGGCGTGTTGACTAGACACCGGGTCGTGGTCACCTTCAGAGCCACGTTGCCCTCGCGATAGGAACGCGTTCAGCTTTACCACAAGGCCCGGACCCGAATGCCGGCTTCGACCTGCTCAGTAGTACGACCTCGTGTTCTTCGGGGATCGGGACGGTGTTTGCCAGCGTCACGAGTCCGTGGACGACTGGTCTCTCGCCTCGAATTGCTCAAAGCAGTGGCGTATGGTATGAGACTTACTCAGTGGCAGGCAGGTAGGTCAGGATCGAGTATCCTGCATTATGCGCCATGGCCGTACGCAATTCCTCTCCAAATATATATTCAGACAAACAGACCTTGATAAGTCAATGGTCCATGAGCACAGATTCTGCACTGCTTCTCCGACAATTGGACACAGAGATTTTTTCACCGTTAGTCTAGAGATGGTGACATCTCCAGGTCCATCGCGGACAGACAATTACACCGAAGGTGTGGTAGAAAGTAAGTGGGGCTGGCGGAGATTATATCTACGAAGTCTTCAGGGATTGGTGGGCATTAGATGAGGTTTTGACTTATAAAAATATGCAGATGCATCCCGAGTTGAAGGGCGGAGCGCTGCATATATGTAGCTAGCACATGTGGACGGATCTGGTCTTTGTCTTACGATGTTCCAATCAAGCCTCGTATTCATTGAGGAACAACTTCATAGGACATTCAAGGTGTCGTCTTCTGAAGGGACCGACTTCTCGGAATTATGTGATCCTTTGACTATTTCATTATAGCTTCATTCCTGTGAAACTGGTACCGAGATGTAGAACGAGGTGGATCCGAGGACCGTCTACAATTGTCCTTCCCTTGGCACGATTGATGTTTCACAACGGGGAGCGGATGGCCATTCCACCTCCGGAACCTGGCCTTACCCACACCCGTCTCACGTACCTTCTTACTGCACGCATCCCACAGATATACCCACTGTGCACTTGCAGCCAGGTTTTCCGGGCAGGCTGGCGAAGCTTGCTCAATCGCACCCCTGGACTCCCGACTACTTCAAGGACCCCACATTTTCGGAGGGACCACCCGTTGCCCCCGGACAAGTCTCACAGGCACCGCACCAATCTTCTGAAGTGATACTTGTTGAGCCTACAAGACCTCGTCACGGGAAGCGATCGTTAATACAAGGCAGAAGGGGAAAGGAAGGAAGGGCGAAGAGCATACTGTCACGCTACCTCGTAGCCTCAACAAAGGAGCCATCAAGCGGCTTGGGACCGGCTTCGAAGACGTGAGGCTCGGATCGCGGTGGCTTCACTGCGTATTTCACATCTCAGTTCTACGTCGTGCAATGAGCGATTTGACTGCATGTAGATTGATGCGTCGACTGACTCCGACGAGGTCGCGATTTCTGGAGTTCAAGAGCATTTCGTTGGGGGGCAGGCTGACATACCCCTGACCGCACTGCGCAAGTACAATGCCTCGCCATCCGTTCGACGGCGCAAAAAGAAAATGACTCACTGCACCCGCTCCAGATACCCCGCCTCGCTACCGACCTGTCTGGATCACCGCAAGACGACGACATTGAGCTCAACGCCGGAAGCCCATAAGTTCCGGACTATGAACTCCTGCTGGTCAAATGAGGTTTGACCAGTCTGCACACGCTAAGCGTTTGAACCCCGTTGTGAAGATGGTGGAATGCCACTTCAGAACCCGCGTCGAGTACGCAGAAGCCGGGCGCCGAGACGAACAGTATTTGTTCTCTAAGGCAGGAATTAACTCACTCGAGGAGCGCAACAAACGAACCTTGCTGACGTCTGCAGGCTTCACGCTGTACTGCTCTTTACTGGTGGAATAACGAGGTACAGAGACCGCTCGCTATAGCTCGTGATGTTTGCCGATCGACGTTCAGATCCGCGAGATATACATGCTGGCTTTAGTAGTGCTGCTGTCCTATGACGTGTATCCAACAGATCACCTCCAAAGGTGTAACGCATCTGCGAGTAGGCTTTTTTCTGATTAGGCATTATATGGCGCACTAAGTGACGTCCTGATTACCGCGCTCCCCTGCCTCATCTCGGGTCCGGTCGCTTGGGGTATGCCTGGCCTTGCGGAGGGATTGAGCGATGGGCCCTATGGGTAGGATGGTAGGTGGAGGGCGAGCTTTCGTCACCGCGGAAGCGGGGTCGCCTCGTTTCATCGCCGAGAGTGCTCTGCTTCGAAGCATAACCCGCAGAGAGGGTGTTCGCGGCGTCGCGGCCAGGGATAGCCCTCATAGCATCCGCATTGCCTAGCGGCGGGGCCCTATGAGGCACGATCGGAAACGTCGAGGGGGAAGCTGAAGATCCTGCTGATAGACTGGCGGAGGCCTCCGCCCTCGTCTCCTGCAGAAAAAATACGGACCGTCGATCAGCCTCCGAATAGACGACGCCAAGCAGAAACGCAGCGAGGGCCGCTACGCACCGCAATGAGCTCCCGGTACCGCTTCAGCATCGCGCTGAGGAACGTGTCGCCCGGCTGGACCTCCCACTCCCCGGGGGCTGTCACGCCGTGCTTTGCGAGCTCGTCCATGATCCGCTTGAGCTCCGCGCTCTTTGCGACGAGGTTCGCGGAGCGCCCCGTCGCTGGCCCCGGACTGCCACCGAGAGCCCCGAGCGAGGCGAGGAGCTGCGCGACCTGGAGCGCGGCGGGCGTGCTCCACTCGTCCTCGAGCTTCTGGCCGGGGATGAAGACGTCTTTGAGGGCGCGCCGGATGCTGGGGATGAGCTCGGTGTAGGGCATGAGGTTGAGCTGGGGCTCGGGCCTGCACAGATACGTCCAATCTGTGTATCCCAGCGGAGTCAGCGAAGATGCAGCATGGTCGGACAGACAATGACTGGGGGGGAAGGGGGGGCACCGATTACAGGTGTACAGCGGACAGAAAGCAGCAGGAGACACGCACCACGCAACACCCAGCCAGACCCCGCCTCCCTCTCTCGGAACACGATCCGCTTCGCACCGTCTGCGCCCTCCTCAACGTCCGCGCCCCGTGTCACGACGAGCGCGATCGCGTTCTTGAGCTTGTTCAGCACCTTCACGCGCACCACGCGGCCCCCGACGCCCTTGGCGACCACGTCGACGAGCGACATACTGATCCGCCATCTCTCTTCCTCCGCCCACTTCACCGTGCCCTTCGCTACCCATCGGTTCTCGCTCGTAGCGTCGCTGCCGCCGTCATCGTCCCACGCCTGTCCTGAGTCTAGAGTGACGCTCCGTGGGGGCTGCACGGAAAACGGAGGGTCGGGAAACGGTACAGAAGGCTTGTCGAGGAGGCTCTTGGGCAACGCGCGGAGACCGAAGCCGGGATAGGCACGCCAGGGGAACGCGTTCGCATACTGAGATGGCTTGAGGTGTAGCGCGGGATGCGTGGGGTCGAGGACTCGTTTAGGATAGGGCGGCCGGTTGCTTGTGACTACATAGGTAATGCTGCCTGGCGTCGTCCGCTTGAACTGCGGCGAGAGATGTATTGTTGAGTGTCGCGAGTGTGATCAGGAGTGAAGACGGGAACCACCTTTATGGACTTCATCCCGGAGTTGGGCTTCGTTAGGCGACTTAGCTCTAGGCATTTCTGCATAGCAGCAGCCTTCAGACAACCAGAATCCACCTCGCACTGAACAAGGATTGCTGAGACATAGAAACAAGGGACCTTGGTAGAATCCCAAGCGTGACGCAAGGTCGGGGGAAATGCGAAGCCGGCAGCATCTGACCAATATTGAATACTGCACTGAAACAAAAACATAAGCGCCTTGCGCGTTATGCATTAAGGGGGAATCGAACCCCCGGCGGGTCGATGGCAACGACCCAGGTTACCACTACCCCATTAATGCTTGACGGTATAGCTCACATAACGTCACCCAATTATAGGCCCCGATCGCGTTGACGATTTTGAGCCCGCGATACGAACCTCGACTCCACACTTACGACATTGTAATCGCCCTGTTATCATAGCAAATTGTTACTTTCTGGTAGGTTTGCGGCTGAAACATTGGCCGTGCTGCAAAGACAGGAATACCAATTCAGAGTACAGCAATACAAGCAGATTCCACGTAATAAATAATTCAGACAACACAACCTCGCCGACCTACAAGAGCCACAGCCAGAACCGCATGCAACACAAGCCTCAAGCTTTAGCGGCCCTCGCCCGGCTTGCCCTCGTTTTCGTCGCCGCAGGTGGTACTGCAGCCGTAGGCTCCTCAGATGCATCGGACGAAGCTACAGCGTTCTTCCCTGCGGACCTCCCAGCGGCAGCAGAGCGAGTGCCCTTGCGCGCCTTCGTGCTCGGAGCAGCCTTGCCCTCCTCTCCATCGTCGTCCCCATTCGACTCGGGAGTGTTCTCCTTGTCCTCTGGGATTGCCGCCTCGACCACCGCACTCGATGCGGCAGCAGCCCCTCGCGTACGCGTCGCCCCGATGCCACGACCAGTCGTAGGCACAGGAGTGGTCCTCGGGACAGGGGTACGCCTTCCACGGGTAGTGCGCGGGGCGTCTGTCTCGGCAGTGGGAAGGGGAGGAACAACGTCTTCGGTCTCTTCCTGCTTCACAGAGGACTTACTGCGCGCCCCGCGGCGACCTTTGGTGTGCTCGCTGGTGTTGCTAGTGGCGCGCTCCCGAGGTAGGGAGTCGAGAGGGTCGTCATCCTCTTCCTCGTTGACCTCGATCGGTTTGGCGCGTGTCCCGCGCCGTGTGGTGCCGGCCTTTGTGGCCGTTGCAGGGGTCGGGGTCTTCGCGCGTGTCTTGCGAGCAGGGGGCTTTGTGTCCGCATCATCTGTGATGGAAGTAGTCGACGAGTCCGTCGTGGTGCGGGTACGACGTCCAGCTCGGGTCGGCAGAGATTCGGGCTCGTCCTCGTCCTCCTTGGGTTCAGGAGTAACGGGCTTCGCTGCCGCTTTGCCTCGGGTTGCGCGTGGAATCTTTAGAATCCTGTCAGGCAAACAGCCACGGACGCATACTTAGAACAACCACACGTACCTGCCCCACGGCACCATCTGCCGTACGCGCCCTAGTCCTCCTTGCGGTCCGACCCTCGGGCTCCGATTGGTCCAGAGCCAGCGAAGCCGCACGCGTGCTCTTCGACGGGGCAGACTGCGGGACGGGCGTCGGAGCCTTGCGCGCGATCCTAGTCGCGGGCGCCCGCTTGCCTCGTGTGATCTTCGCAGGGAGCTCCTCAACAGGCTCTTCCTGCTGCTCCTCAGGCTGCTCCTCTTCGTGGACATCTTCCTCTTCCTGTCCATCCTCTGTGATAGCAGGCGCGCGGTAAGCCGCCGGAGTGCTGAGTATCTCCTGCATGCCGTCCATGCGCGGCGTCTCCGGCCGTTGCGGTTGGGGGCGGAACATCTCGCGCACACCCGCGAGGACTGGTGTAGTCTGCGACTCCCCGCGCGGGCGCCCGAAGACATGACGCAGGTCGGCCATATGCGGGGTCGCCGGCGCAGGAGCGTTCTGTCCATGCGCGGGACGCTCGGACTCCTGCTCCTGCCCCTCGTCCATGTGTGTGCTGCCGTCCCCCTCGTCTTCCTCCTCGAGGAGGATGTGCGACGGCCGGTGTGGGCGGGCGTGGTCGGGTGCAAGGAGGGAAAAGCCACCTTCGCGCTTGCGCGGGCTGAGGCTGAGGCTCTGCCGGCCGAGGCTCTGGCGCTGCTTTACGCCCTCCACCATCTGCTTCATACGAGCGAGGAGGACGGCGGTGTCCTCCTTTTCTTCTTCTTCCTTCACATTGATTGTTGTGGTGGAGGCGGTCGAAGACGTGGACGTGGACGCTGCCAACATGCTCTCGACGGAGGCGGACGACGAGGACGATGCGGGCTGGCCGAAGCTGGGGGAGGGGAGGGGCGCGAGCGAGGGGAAGAGGGTACGTCGGGAGCCGGGGGTCTGGCCTTTGAAGAAGTTGTCAGGGGTCGCGAGGGCGGAACGTCTCCGCGCGCGGATGGCCTGGCAGGAGCTGCTCAGCCAATACTCTTTGCACACGATTGTGATTACTGACCTCACGTTCTTCTTCTGTCACCTTTTCCCTCTTCACTAGGGAGCGGGGCGTTGACAATGGAGTAGGCCCACTTGCAGAAGGAGCTTGGGAATCTTCCTCCTTGATCGCGGGGACCTGGATCTCGTTGACCTTCCATGGGGCAACAACGCGCACGCGGCGCGGGCCCGAGTCAGGTGCAGCCCCGACGCCTAGAGAAAGACGCGGTCGCTGGGAAGTCCATGGTATCTGGGGAGTCATGAACTGGCCGAGGGGGCGAGGGGGCTCGGCTATCAGGGTATCGTCTCGTTCGTCTTGGTACTCGTATTCGTTCTCTTGTTCCTGATAGTCTTCTTCAGGTTGTTCGTAGTTGTAGTCAATCTCTTCAACCATCTCTTCATCCTGTCCGTCTGTGATATCATGTGCAAACTCTTCGTCAAGCGTTGGTTCTTCCTCTTCCTCCTTCGGCTACAGTAGGTCAGTGTGTGCACGCTAGGGCTCGAGCAGACCGTGCTTACCTCTACGGAAAGGCCGCGGAAGGCCCAGCCAAGGCTGCCCTTGACCGCGTCCAAGCTCTTGCGCCATCCAGAAACTTGCTGATGACCCTCCGGTGGGGGTATCTCTTGCACGTCTTCGTCACTCTCTTCCGCAATCGCGTCAATGACATCCTCGACCTCTTCCGCCTCCTGCTCTTCCTCCTCACGCTGAATTTCACGCTGCAGCACTGCGCGTTGTGCAGAACGAATGAGTACAGCGCGATGAAGAGACGCTCGAGGGCGCCGAACAGGAGTCGCAGGGTATTGGGGCATCATAGGGAGGGGAAGAGGGAGGACGGGCTCAGGCTCGACCTCATCCAGAATGACGAGGTCCTTCTCCTCTTCGACCACGCGCGGGGTATTGCTTTGGACGAGGACAATCTCTTCCAACTCTTGAGCAAAGGGAGTGCGCAGAGGTGTCTGCAGGACACGAAGGTTCTCTTGGGGGTCGTGACTTGGACGTGGTGTAAAAACCTGTGCAGTTGCGATCATCGAGAGGCGTAACGGACGTCGCTCGCCCGCGGGAGTCATCTGCGTGGGCGTATTGATGAGGGCAGAGCGAAGGTGCTTTGGAGGGTATATGAAGCGGAACCGCTTCTTGTGTATCTCGATGACAGAGTTGTTCTGGAGAGGCACCGTGGTTGGGCCGTGTGCGTTTGCTGGGGCAGGGAACATCGGCTCGTCGTCGAGTAGCACGCCATTGGTGCCGATGATAACAAGGAACGCCTTGCGGTCAACAAAGGTAATCTTTGCGTGGACGGCGGACACGGCGGGGTAGTAGAGACGGAGGGAACACGATTGGTCGCGACCGATGGTGATTTCTTCGTCGTCGATGGGGTATGAGGTGACGACAGACTCAGGAGACTGCTTGCGGAGAAGTTGAAGTGCGCCAAGACGCCCTACGTCGCTCAAGTCCATGCTTTCGGTGGCGCAGAGTCGCGTCGGCACTGTGTTCGGAGGCGGCGGGGTCGTCGACGACGATGGCGGGAGCCAACTTCAGAATCAACCTGCGGAAGCGCGCCGTGCGCGTGACCGCGATCCACACGCGCCTTCTATACTTGACTAAACTACGGATTGATACTTTGCATTGACGGTTTAGAACCATGGCTGAATAGCTCAGTTGGTTAGAACGTAATATGAATATCGGGACCCTCATGTGCTGCCCCAAGTCAGCACGTGAAAGATAGTGTAAGTGGTCGGTTCGACCCCGTCGGTGGCCAATTTTATGGGCTTTCCATTTCATGGCCCCCGGTCGTTTGATGCTCCCCAAGATATTGTCACCTGGTACTACTTGAAAAGTATGGCAAGGAGGTTTTATATTTCGTGGAACGGGTGGTCCAAGTGTTGTACAGCGAGGGAGAGTGTCTGACAAGGTATTTCGGCACCGGCGTGGCGCAGGGCCCAAAGTGCAAATGACGACAGGCTGTGGTACCTGCTTTCACCTCGACCACACCCTCTCTTCGCCCTTGCTCATCAATTTCGTGCAGGAAACAAGACATGCCTCCGACAAGGACGACTCGCTCTACTGAAACGCGTTCGACACGCTCAAGCACCCGCAAACGGGCAGGCTCGCCTCCACCAGCTCCCGCGGCCAAACGTCGTGCAGCCGCGAAACCTAAGGCTGCCCCAAAGTCCAAACCCTCACAGAAAGAAAAGGAGGACGAAGCCCCAAAGCCCAAACGCACATCTCGCCCTCGGAGAGCTCCTGTGCGCAAAACAGACCGCAATGCAGCCTACACTTCTCGTCCCCTCAACGCACGTCAAAGAGACCTCCCGTTACTCAACCCGTTACCTGCACCACCGTCGCGCGAACGACCATGCTGGCAACTCTTTGGCTGGGGTCCGGACAACAAGGATGGGCCTATGGGTACTGGGGATGAATTCGCAGCGGAGAAGCCCAGACGGAGCAAGGTCGTGGAGAAATTGATCGAGGATGGAGAATTCGGCCTCAACAGAGCTGGCTTGGTCGCCGTTGCTGCCGGTGGATTTTTCTCGCTCGTGGTGGACGAAGTTGGCCAGGTACGTGCCATCCTAATGCAGAATACCCAACACGGTCCTAGGTCTCGCAGGTCGCTATCTTTCTTCAGCCGCCTCGTACCATGTGCATTCACCAGCCTGGACTCAGCGCGGTGGTCAGCGTGCGTATGGGGCGGGTGTTGAAGGAGCAGGTTATGTTGGATGATTGTACCATAACAAACTTCCGCTGCCTATCCTGCAGTCTAGTTATCATCTCAGACCATTTGGTATCTTGGCAATTCTTGCACGGGGACCTCGTGGACACAGGAAGCTCTCTTATCCTGGCAAGACTGGGACACTGCAAGACGCACTCGAATACATGTTCGTGGGACTGCGTCGCATGTGTTCTCGTTTGTCGGGCGGCCATTATACGTCACGTCGACAGTACCTGCGAAGGTCGAGTCCTGGAGGCCAATTACTTGCGCTCTACGCCGCAATACGATATACTAATCATCTTTGATGTGCTTGTGGACAAGCGGTCACGCACTCCTCTGAACCGCCCGACGCATCGTGAACGGACTCATGGCCCCCACTTCCGGAGACGCAGACGTTCTTCGAGCGGAAACTTACACAAGCTCACCCTCCTTTAGGTCTGGTCATTCGGAAACAACGAAGTCGGTCAATTGGGACGGACAACGGTCAAGAGCGCGGACGGTGTAGAAGTGGACTCAGAAACATCCGTACCCCTGCACACACCCGTCCGCATCCGCCGCCTCTCAGACGAGTTCTTCCGCGCCGTCCGAATAGCAGCCGGCAGCTGCATCGCGGCAGCTCTCAGCGACCGTGGCGAGCTGCGCGTATGGGGGGCCTACTACGTCAGTATTCTTCGCTTCATTCGTGCCAAGCCAATCTAGACGTTGACCATACCGACCTCACCGCGCAGTTCTCACAAAACAGCGGCGGCCAGAAGTTCATGTTCTCCCCCCATGTCGACACACAGCCCTTTCCGGTCCATATCCCCGAGCTCGTCGGGGAGCGCTTCTCCGACGTCGTGGCCGGCGCTAACCACCTCGTTCTCCTCACCGTCGACGGCGACGTCTACACGATCGGCAAAGGGTCCGAGGGCCAGCTCGGCCACAAGGTACCCAAGGCGACGCCCACGCAGGGCACGGTGCCCTACAAGGTACTCCGGAACACGCACGGGCACCGCGCGGTCGCGATCGGGGCCTCGAACGACACGTCCTTCTTCGTCGACCAGCAGGGCGACGTCTGGGTGTGGGGCCTGAACGGTTACGGGCAGACTGGCACAGGCAGCAAGCAGAACGTCCTGTGGTACCCGCACCAGGCGAAGCGCGTGCGCAGGAAGGACCTAGGGGGCAAGGCGACGGTCGTGCAGATCGTGGGCGGCGAGCGGCATACGCTGTTTCTGGCGTCCGACGGGCGAGTGTTCGCGTGCGGGAATGCGGAGGATGGGCAGTTCCAGCTCCCCGCTGGGGCGGAGGGCGACATAGCGAAGGAGGTCGCGCGAGTCAGCGAGCCTGTGCCCGTGCAGTTTCCGCACGACGTCAAGGAGGACCCGGTCGTCCAGATCGCCGCGTCAAACCGGATGAATGCGGCCATTACAAGGGATGGAGTGCTCTACACCTGGGGCTTGAACAGCGGGGGTATGCTCGGGACCGAAGTCGAGTCGCCGGACGACATCATCAAAACGCCGAAGGTGATCGTCCGTAGGGAAGGATCGTGGCTAGCGAAGGCAGTTTCCTGTGGGGGCCAACATTGTCTTGCGCTTCTGCGGAAGAAGCCTTGAGCTGTCTCGCGACGACCCTTTCCGGTACCTGTTGTTGTGACTACGTCGGTCGGTGAGCGCATGTGCTTCGCGAAGGTTTCACGCGCTGAATGTCGCCTATGGCTTAGTGTCAGCCAGTTGTTCGGGTTTCAATATATGTCCACAAGACAGCTACTCTCCTCCGCCATACTCAAGCACAAACCTCCCTTGCAAGAAGCATGTTAGCGAAATACCCCTGCATGACTGTATCCTAATCTGCTGCTATATTTCCTTCTTGATTGCACTGTGTGGTTCTCTTGCCGTGTAACATATAGTAATTGAGGCGGAGGCGAACATCATCCATATCAGTCTGTATTTGTGCAATCCATCCCAAAGAGTGTCGAAAGCATGTACAAGAAGTGGGTGGCCGAGTTTACCCTGGCCTACGTACGCAACCACGCCGTCTTTGCCAATTTCTTCTGCTTTTTCTGTTCCTTGAACCGTTCCTGTTGCGCACGTTCTTGCTATCAGCATCGTTCGACCTGCAAGCACAAAACCCTCCGTCAACCACCGAAACTCGAACGGTACTCACCAGGTCCTTCTTTGTCGGCCTCTTCCGCTTCCTCCCTTCCTCCTCCTCATGCGCCTCTTCGAGCTTGCGCTGTGCGACCTCGTTCTCCCACGCGTTCACGTCGAAGTAGAACTCGCTCATCCGCTTCGCCCGCTCGTACTCGGACAGGTGCGTCGGGTCCCGGCCATCGGGCCGCGCGAACGTCCCTGTACGCGCGTTGAACTTTGCCGTATACGTGAATGCGGCCGGGGTCGAAGAGCCGGCAGTGACGAGCGAAGGGTCGAGATGGGCGAGCGCGGGGTCGATGCCTTGTGCGGCAGCCGCGGTATACAGGTCGTAGTTTGGGATTGAGGAGGTAGGTTGTTGCTGGGAGGGTCCCGCTTTCGAGCTGGACGGTGCTTCCGAGGTGCTGGTGTTGGAGGGGCCTGCCTCAGCAGTAGGCTGGAGAGGGTTGACCCATGTCGTTTCTTGCGTTACCGAGTTGTAGAAATAGTAGGCACTGTGAGCAGGGGACCATACCGCCTGCCAAGTGCCCTGAGAAGCCGCTGATGCTGACGGGGACGCAGAAGAGGACTCGGAGGTAGACGTAGAGGCAGAGGCAGATGCAGCATTCGCGGCGGAGGGAGAAGGTGTGGGTTCAGCCGAGGCGTCATCACGCGACTTGCTCTCCGAGTCGTCTGTGGCCTCTGACTGCCCGCGTTCCTGTCCGGAGGGGACTGAGACAGCTTCAGAATCCTCGCGACTAGGTGAGTGGTCGTGGGGGGCGGCTGGGGAGGCGGCTCCGGAGGGGGAAGGCGAGCGGGACATGGTCGAGGCTGGAGATGAGGTCAAGGTCGAGGGCCAAGAAGGATTCAAACTCCGATGTGCGTACGCTTGGCGTGCAAAGCCGGTACCTGCACCGCGGCGCGCCCGAGTCTGTCCATACCCTACCCGCTACCAAATCCTCTCTTCCGTCTGCCTGCATTTCTACCTAGTGTCTTAGACGTTTCGTGAGCTGCACGACCCGGATTCACGAAGAAATTGGGAAGTTAGACGACGCTGGTCGTCAGACCGTGATACCTCCACAAACGAAGACAAGGAGCGGCGCATCTTGCACCAAGCCAAGCCCAAGGTGCGTGTGTATTCTTGTCTGTGGGACCCCGTGTTGGGCAATCTATTAAAACGATGCACCCATAGACTCATACCAGTTTCCGAACGAGTATCTCCAAGGAGCCACTCAACGATTGGTGTTCCAAGGATGGCCTCGCCGGACCGCCCGCACTACATCCCCCTTCCGCCGCCCCCGCTTCGCTCCGCGATGAAGCACTCGTCCCGGCCAGGCACTCCCAACCAACCCTCTGTCTCCTCTCCTCTCCTATCTCCCCCAATAGCAACTTTGCCTCTCGCCTCCCCACCATCCTCCATTACGACTCCAAGTCCAGGCATCAGCGGCGGACCATCACCGTACAGTTCCGCACACCCGTCTTCATCGATGGTCGCCTTCAGCTCCTCTCAGGGCCCTGGGTCGCCCCTGGTCGCAGCCCAGGGATACCAGCCGAAGGTGTCCTTCGATACTCTTGAGAACCCGCAGGCGAGCATGTTCTCCTACACGCTACACGTGCAGAGCGAAGGCTACACCAGGACGCGGAGCACGCGTGTCTTCCTGTGTGCGTCCAGCCCCGATGAGAGCGGCAGTCAGGCACTGGAGTGGTGCTTAGAGAGTTTGGTGCAAGACGGGGATGAGCTAGTCGTATTCCGGGGCATTGACCCCGATGACTTCGGTGCGTTCGAGATAACCTCGCGATAACAACGCGCGAAACCTCTGACTCGAGAATCAGCAGAGAAAGACCACGACCAGTATCGCGAAGATGCCCGCGAGCTGATGCGCCTTATCCAGGAGAGATGCGTCGAGTATGACTCCGAGCGGAAGCTCTCTATCATCGTCGAGTATATCGCGGGCAAGGTGACGCAGACCATCGACCGACTGATCGCGCTGTACCGTCCCGAGTCTGTCGTCGTTGGTACGCGGGGGCAGCGGAGCGTGATGCAGGCATGGGCGGGTGCATTTGGTGCGCCTGGTGTCGGAAGCGTATCGAAGTGAGTGATCTCGCTCCCCCATCTTACCCCATCGATCATGCGTGCGACAATAACGCGTTGCCCCCAGATACTGCCTCAGCCACTCGCCCGTACCAGTCATCGTCATCCGACCCGAGAGCAAAGTGCGCAAGACGATGGCGAAACGACGCGCAGACCCCAAGCGCGGCCAGCACTTCGACACGTAAGTCGTACCCTGCGTGCTTCGTCCCATCCCTCGATGCGGAGGCGACATTTCCAGCACCTAATCCCGCCCATTCATGTAGGTTGACGAGGACCAAGTCAAAGACCAACGGTAATCTCTCCGTCCCCATGTTCTCCGCTCTGACCCGATAATGTCGCGTACAATGCTGTGCATGGACATCGCGTTCATCTCTTCTACTTGTTGTGCATACCGCGTGCGCGTTGAATTTTTCGGTTGAAACCGGTCGACATTGCTTTCTGTTGGTAGTATTACCGTCGTAGCTGGACCATGTACTGTATGTACCACAATAAACACTTGGCGCTGTGGTCCTCCGTATACGTTTGGATCACTGGAGAGGCGATCTGTACACCGACGTTACGATTGTCCGATAGTGCTGAAATTATGCGCAGAGTCTTGATAGTGGACAGAATATAGATGAGGTGCCGCTGAGCCCTCGCTCTCGAGACACGGCCACAGATATGAGATGAGCTCGAACCGAAAGCTAGATAGCGACGGACTGACAGTGACATGGGTTTGTAATAGTACTATTTGTGCGATCGACGCAACAAGCGTCGACATTAATAGAGAAAAAGACAAGGCAAACGCAAAAAACACAATATGCGCAATAGCTCACTGCATTAAGGGGGAATCGAACCCCCGGCGGGTCGATGGCAACGACCCAGGTTACCACTACCCCATTAATGCCTTGAGGCCGAGCTTGCGATCAAGGACGAGTCTCGATTGACATTCCTTGCACTCCTAAGTGCTTGTATCAACATTCCCGTTGCGCCTGCCTCTAAACTATTTCTTCACATGGCGGCGACTACGTTCATAGCCTCGACATTAGGAGCCTCGATCGCTGAGCAGGTGGCAGGGAAGGCTGCTGGCTCGTCTGTCGGCGCACCAGCTCAGCGGAACCAGAGTAGCCGAAAAGGCAAGCGCGCCTGGAGGAAAAATGTCGACCTGGACGAAGTTGAGGAAGGCTTGGAGGAGCTTCGGACGGAGGAGCGGCTCACTGGGTGTGTTGTTGCATGCGCACTCAGCGAAGATTAGGATTTCTGACAGTGCACCTCAATTGTGCAGGACCGCGCTACAAAAGAAAAAAGATGAGGAGCTGTTCCAGGTCGATGTCGCTGGAGACGATCAGAGTACGTGCTCTCTCCTCTTTCCCCGGAGCTTTGCATCGCAGAGGATATCTCTGCAATGGCTAACGACATAGACATGATTGATACGTGTAGTCCGCAAAACCCTCCCGAAATTCTCAGAGCGCGTGCTCACGTCCACCAAAATCCTTGCCCAACGCTCCGCCGTCCCTGCCGTCTTCTCTCGCGCGTCTGCGTCATCCTCATCGTCAACGACTAAGGCCGAAAAGCGTAAATTGGTCACACATGAGGACAAGAGCAAGCTGCTCAGGATAGGCCAGAAGCTGAGGCGTGGGCCATTCAATGCGTATGTGGACCCAGATCAGGTCGGAGAGGGGAGCGCGATGCTAGAGTTGAGCGAGGCGGCAAAGAAAGCTGGGACGTACGACGTGTGGGCTGAGGAGGTGCCCGAGAGTGTGCCGGTCAAGGTGCGTCTCGTCAGCCTTCCAACTGCCTTTGCCGGCGAACTAATGGTTCTCATGATGTTATGCCCGCTGGCGGCGCACTATCTAGGCACCTCAATCGCATCATCCCCGTTCGCTCATCTCCCTAGCAGCTGTGCCCTCGCCGCATGAGGGCCAGTCTTATAATCCTCCTCTAACCTCGCATCAAGAGCTTCTCCGTGCGGCAAACGAAGTGGAAGAGCAGAAGTACAAGGGCGTGGACGAGCTGGAGGCGATGAAGGCCAAGATGGAGCAGGCGCGGCAGATAGCGGCAGCAGAGGCAGCAGTTCACGTCGCAGCGGGCGTCGCCCCTGGCATGACAGTTCCGGAGATCGCTGACCAAGCCGACGAGGAGGAGGGCGAGGGAGCGGAGCCACCGCCGCCAAAGAAGGTGCCAGAGAGGAAGACCAAGCAGCAAAGGAAGAAGGCTGAGAAATTGCGTGCGGAGGTGCGTCGCGGGTTCCTTGGCATCGTCGCTGTCGGGTGGTGTGCTCACACACGCACACAATGTAGAAGCGCGCTTTGGCGGAGAAGGCTGCGCGGAAACGGATGCTCGCGTCCGTCGACTCCGCGAAAGCACTCCGCAAATCTATCGCACGCGACCTCGCAACGCGCGAGCGACTCCGTGCACAGCGACAGGCGCAGATGCAGGAGAAGCTCAAGCGAGGGCTGGCAGGACAGAAGATTGGGAAGCATAAGGTCCCCGAGGGTGAGATCGATGTCCAGCTCGGGGAGGAGCTCAGCGAGAGCTTGCGTGCGCTTAAGGTACGTGCCTCCTCCGCGGCGTACCCATTTCAGACCGATCAGCTAACAACCCCTCCTTGATTCAGCCTGAGGGTAACTTGTTTAGGGATCGGTTCGTTAGCATGCAACATCGTGCGCTCATCGAGCCGCGCGCCGTCGTTACGTGCGTACTAGCCGTCGCATTTGTTGCCCTGGAGTGTCTCGCTAACCGCACACGGCTTATCCACAGTACCAAGAAGGCGAGGCGCAAGACAAAAGAGTACGAGAAGCACTCGTACAAGAAGTTCGACAGGGAGTATTAATGCTGTCGCGCTCATCGGCCGATGGCTGGATGTTCGGTATGCCGGTTAGACAGGTACGAGTACTAGGCCTAGGGTCCTTGCCTATCGATCTTTTGGGGTGTTTGACCGCTTCATCTCTGCACCAAGGTTCACTTCACACACACGTCCACGCAAAAACCGCCGGCAATGCGATTTCAGGGGTGATTATGGACAACCGTTGCGCCGCGCTACTCCCGTAGTCCCTTGTCGCGATCGACAAGTCAAGCTTCGCGGGATAACTTAATATGCAATATATTCCGCTCAGGACACCAACGATATGTGGTTACCGGTGGCTAAGCTAGCGGGGCTTTTAGACGTTGGTGCTGTCTAATTAAACTCGTGTGGCGGTAGTCTTACCGAGAAACTCCCTCTCATCGTGCGCGGGCACCGCGCAGATCGTGAGACGCATTCCTCTCGCTTCCCCCTGGCATTGTTCTCCATCTCAAAGGGAAGCCGCGAATCTCGGATGATGGATCACCGGCTCGAGCATATTGCGATGTTCACTAGATGCACCCCATACATATGCGAGCGCAGCTTAATGAGCCAATAGGCTGAAATAAAACCGGGTTCATGGCGCAACCGGGTTAGATTGCGTCGAGCACATGCTGGCTTGACGACGTGGCCGACGTAAGGATCGCGCTTTCGTCCGACGAGCACGCAGATGTCCGTGAGCTGCGGTGAACTCGTATTGAAATCGGGATTCGATGGTACTAGGGGGAGAGCCGCGGGACAGAGGGACAATGCGGGAATTGCGGGCCCGAACATCGTTCTGTGATACACTCACGTCAGGAGACAATTCTACGTGCGAGATACAGCCCCTTGGTCCTGAGACTATCGGACCAACGGGTGAAGTAGAAGGGGCTGTCAACCGTGGAAGGTCGTAACATGTGAGTGTCATCGATGAGGACCCTGAAAGGATTGTGAGTCGCCGAGGATGTCGATGACATCCGGCGTCATGGTGCCAACCATTGACAGCCTAGGCGAATGAGTGATGGCGGGTACAGAGATAAACGCAACGACAGATAGTTTTGCTGACCACAGCAGAGAACGGCCGAAGGGTATAGTCGATTTTACGTTTCCTTATCAAGCGTCGGAGGCTCCAGACCTAGGGATTGCGGCTGACTGTGAAGGACGCTCAAAACCCGAGCACATTCGACAGTGCCTCAACACGTGGGAGATGCACTGAAGTATCCTGAGATGGCAAAGGCCCGAGGGATGCTGGATCGCCGGAGATAGGATTGTCGTGCCAAATTTGCGACCAGGCAGTAAGTGTCCAGGAATACCAGGAAGTCGTGACAGGCTCCGGCAAACAGAACTGATTTACGTAGCAGGTTTCTGTACCTCTAGGCGGAAGGGACAGTAATACTATATGGGTTGAGAGGCCAAGTTTGCCCGAGCACATTGAAAGCGGACGATTTAGTAGACGAGCAAGCCTGCGAGCGCTGGTTTCATGAACCAAGAAAGACCGTCCGAGTTTGGAAGGTTAAGCGGCTTTGTGGCTTCGGCAGACTCCGGGTACTGTGCAGTACCACCAGCCACCCAGTCAACGAACCTGGACAGTACACTCGACAGCGGCGGCCCACAGCAAGTTCAAGATCAAGGTATGTCGTTATGCTGCCTCTACGTTCTATGGCCTTTAATTGACTCCGGAATTACAGGCAAACTCCCTTGAAATCCTCAAGTGTGAGTTCTCCCCGTCATTTTGGTGGGCCGTGCGACCCTAGAGGAGGTGGAGGATATGGAAGGCTTGTCTCGATGATCGGATGAGAATGGGCTTGGATGAGACAGGATTAAGTTGGCGAGAAGGGGTATTGGGTCGCGCGGGTGAATTGGTTTGCTCAACGACATCGTACTGAACGCATGTCCTTGCAGTCCAGCAATGGCCCAACGCGTCACCCTCCGCAAGCGCACTCCCTACAACACCACTTCCAACCGCCGTCGGGTGGTGAAGACTCCTGGTGGCAAGCTTGTATACCACCACCTCAAAAAGCTCGCCACTGCGCCCAAGTGTGGTGACTGCGGTATTGCGCTCCCTGGTGTACGTCTTGCTGCACTTGCATTTGCTGCGGACCTTTGTTCAACACTTTGCGTATCTTCTCTAGGTCCCAGCCCTTCGTCCCCGTCAATACGCTACCATCTCCAAGACGAAGAAGACTGTTCGTCGGGCGTACGGTGGCTCACGATGCGGTGACTGCGTGAAGTCGCGGTATGTCATCGCCCTTACCCTATTCCTTTCAGTTCCTCACATAGGCACTTCGCAGCATCCTCCGGGCATTCCTCGTCGAGGAGGCGAAGATTGTCAAGAAGGTGATCAAGTCGCAGGAGAAGGCTGGCCGCAAGTAAACGTCCGATGTATTCTGGATCTCGTGCGGCTCTGTATTTCTCTATCATACGACTGGGGGACAGTACACGAGGCTGGCAGCCTTCATGTCCTCTCCTCATACGCTCTCGATGCACCATGCCATGCCTTCCATCATTCGTCGCTCTACATCATGCATTGTACTGCTTACTGTCGCAATCAAAACTTGACCGATGAGGTCGGTATGCGGGCACTTCTGTGTAGCTTTCGCGATAACAAAGGCGAAACGCACCATGCATCGAATGCGCATCCCGTAAGCACCACGGCCTGGTTGAATGTCTTGGTTGGAGAATACCTGTCCGTGCATATGCGACACGAGGTCCTCGATGCAGCAACGGGTGCTATGAGTGAGCGTGGTTAGCAGCGTCCGTGGCAAATACTTTCTAGCCTACGATTAAATTGTCAAGGATTTGCTAGTCTTGCTCGCGCCTATGTCCAGGGTTTTGCCTCAATCGCCGGCCGAACTTGTAGCACCTCGACGGCCATCTCGATCACTATGGCAGCCCGCTTGAGCACTCGGGAGGACTACGCTAGCTTGTTGGACAAGTACGACACCTGGCTGTTTGACTGCGATGGTGTCCTTTGGCAGGGAGACAAGTTGATTGACGGCGCGACGGACGTCCTGCAGCTACTGCGGCATCACAGTGCGTCCCTAGTCTTTGCTTAGATCTAGGAGCATAGTAGTGACATGTTCACGACTATATCTGCGGTGCACTGTAAGAGAAGTCGGTGTTGTTCGTCACGAATAATGCGACTAAGTCGAGGAAGAACTACAAGAAGAAGTTCGACTCCCTTGGCGTCGAGGCTCACGTCGTACGTCCTCTCGCTCCTCGGTCATGAAAACCACGAAGGCTGAAAGTTAATAAGGATGAGATTTATGGCTCCGCGTTCGCGTCCGCGGTGTATATCTCGTCGGTGATGAAGATGTCCAAGGACAAGAAAGTGTACGTGATCGGGATGGCAGGGCTCGAGGAGGAACTGGACGAAGAAGGTATCGCGCACATTGGCGGCACGGTGAATCTTCAGTTGGCCCCTGCAGTACACTCCGACTCAGCATGCATCACAGGACCCAGAGGATAACACCCTCGAGAACTTCTCCCTTGCGAAGTGGACACCAGACCCCTCCGTCGGGGCGGTCTTGTGCGGGCTCGACACCTCTATCAACTACACGAAGCTGTCGAAGGCGTTCAACTACCTTCTCCGCAACGAAGGCTGCCAATTCCTCGTCACCAACGAGGATAGCACGTACCCTACCGCAGAGGGCTTGCTCCCCGGTGCAGGGTCGGTCAGCGCCCCGCTCCGCTATGCACTGGGGAGGGAGCCCGTAGCGATCGGGAAGCCTAAGAGCACGATGCTCGATTGCATCAAGGCTAAGTGAGTGCAGCGTAGCCTCGATCTGTCTAGGATAATCGGGAGAAGGGGGCTCATGCGAATATCGCGATTGAACAGGCACAACTTCGATCCGAAGCGAACGATCATGGTGGGCGACAGGCTGAACACCGACATCGAGTTTGGCAAGGCCGGCGGGCTATCGACGCTCTTGGTGCTGAGCGGTGCGTGCGGGGGAGCATGAGGAAAGTATCCTTGACACGGGCTAACGGAGCCTGCACTTTCCTTACAGGTATCACGAAGGAAAGCGAGATCACGGGCCCGAATGCGTCGCCCACCGTGCCAGACTACGTTACAGGGTCGATTGGCGATCTCCGGGCATTGATTTCCTAGTGTCTCTTGGTTACGCGGAGAATACGGGGAGGCGAGTTCGAGAAGCTCAAGCTCGATACTCGCTCCCGCAGAGAAGGCCATAGATGCAGACATAAAGGTGTTAATATTAGGATTGTATAAGTTAAATGAATGGTGGGCACATGTAGAAGCCAGATCTAGATGAAGGCTACTGTAGACACCAGGAAACCTGACGTTATGAAGCCTTGACGTCCGCCGCTTGACGCCGTTGGCGGTCTGCCTGAGCTAGCTCGAGGGTTGCGCTAACCAACAGGGCGATCAAGGACCCCACGATGAACCCCGCGATCGCGCCGAAAGTCGGAGTGAGCGGCCACGCCTTTCCATAACCGTTAGCACAACGTGAGCAGCTGCGGGTACCAATGCAAGACGGACCTGCCAAGGGCGCTCCCAGTCAAGCCCTATAGGTACTGCGCCCAACCATGCTCCGGTGACCGTGCCGATAGCAGGGTAAACCAAAGCCCTTTCGACGGCAGTGCGTGGTCTGAATATGAACTGAGAATGAGTTTTGTGAAGAGAATCGAAGAAACAAGAGTACGTACGAGAGCTCGGCGTAGAGACGGACCCATGTAAGCCGACTAACGAGAGAGGGGCTGTCAGAGCCAAAGGAGGGGGGCCCCAAGGCATATGCGGGAGGTAGGACAGTGAGAATAGAAAGAAGGAGGGCCGTGGAGTACGTTTGAAGTGTATGGCTGCGTAGAGCCGTCCGCGATGAGCATTTGGTGAAGTTCCGGATTCTCAGGATGGACTGTACCTCGTAACTGGGGCACCAAATAACACAGCGACTACATGGTAGGCGAATGAGGCAACCAGAGTCGTTCCCACTGCCTTACCATATGCCTATGCCAAGGACAGACGGTCAGACCAGACGTTGCCAAAGCAGAGACAGGACGTACCACCACGCGCTCCCGCTGAGCCTCCCATCCGTCTCTCTCCATTTTCTGTTTCGCAGCTTCCGCATTGTCTACCTTCCGGGCCCGAGCTGTGAGAGACCACTCCTTGACCCAACCAGCCCACCAGCATTGGAGGATGAGCGCGCCCGTGCAGATCCAAGCCAGTGTCCGTAAGGGATTCTCAGTGAGAACTTGCATGATATCTCGGTCTTCCGTTCTGCTGGTGAAGTCCCATCGCGCCAACACTCCGCCAAGAGATGGCGTAGTTGCAGGCAACAGGAGTGCAGTGAATGCGAGGAGCGATGTGTGCACGCCGACAACTGAAGTATACCGGGCGAAGGGAAAGTACGTGGGCTGTGAGGGGTGCTCCGGTCGGATTTGCGTTCGAGGGGGCGGGGCTTCCGCCGCCTTTCCCTTTCCTTTCCGCGAGGGCATGGTGAGTTCAGGACAGGGTGACGGTGATCATCGAGGTGGTACGAAGTAGAACGAAGAAGAGTCGTGAGCAGGCGGCCCCCACGCCTGCGCTGTATGCGTACGCGAGTGACTTGATTCTGCCCACCCTCCATCCTGCCGTGTCCTCGATGCTGGACGCAAGCTATATAGCTCCCAGCTGCAGCTTCTCATGGAAACATTGCTGCATTTCGCCAGATATTGCGACAGCCACTTACGAAGACCTTCATTTCAAAGGACGTCGTGCCCACCCAAGTGCGACTGTTACTGGTGTCTAGCTTGGACGTCTTTTCGCTCGCTGAGCTGGTTTTCATTCAAATCCTTGTTAGGTGTAGTAACCCTTGAGGTGACTATGGTACGTAATTGCGCGTCCAAACGCCAGGCATGACTTGTTTGGCTCCAGACGACTACCTTCACCGGTACCCCAGTATGCTTCTGAGCATTGCTTAGCTTCGACACGCAGCCGGAAAATCGTCCTCAGAATCAGGATCACAGCGTCCGCGGATATGGAAGTCGTTGGGGCGCTCTTTGAAGGCGAGAGTGTTACTCCTAGCCGAGGTATAGCGTTCCAAGGCTCTGTTTCACCCAGTCACTTATCCCTCGTCCGGCAGGCCGGTCTCAGACATTGGTACTTGTATTAGGTTCTATCTTGGACCACGCCTTCGTCCTAGCCAGCGGTGGAACCAATGCACGAGTGCCGCAGACAGGTTCATGTCTAGCCTGAACGAGTATATTTCCCTTCCGGATGGTGCTCGGTCAGTGCTGTTCGGCCCTATAGTATCGATATCCGCCACGCTCTCAGGCTACAGCGCGCATGTAAGCCAGGCGTGGCCAATGGCTCTCCTGGTCAATACATCTCCGCGGCAGTCCACTGCTAGTGACGCTGAGGGTGCGAAGATCTTTTGGTGCGCCCGTCGTCGTTCATCGGAAGAGAGAAACTGATTTCCATCCTAGTATGCTGGCTTGAGGAGAGGAGAGGCAACCAGCTTTGCCTCATGGCACGCATCTTGCCGCAGTGCCGATTTCGACCCACGTCGGATTTTGCCCTAAGTCCCTTTTGCCATGTCAAGCATCGAGCGCTCCGTTCTGACCTCGGAGGGTCCCACCTCTATCGTCGTCATTGACGGCGAATGCGACGAAAATACGTGTAGGGGCGTCGGAAGACAACGCCTTGGGGACGTCTTCCTCCACCCAATCGTCAGCGGCTCGCGACGAAGCGTCCTGTCCGTGCCGTTTCCCGAGCAGCGTGGTGTGCACGTTGTTTACAAAAAACATCTTATCTCCCTCGGTAAGTGGCATGGCTGACATATCTTCTCTTTTTCGCCTGACCCTGAAGCAGGAACGAAAGTATGATACTGGGCTGTCCTCACTAGTCACCGCCCGCGTAGGAAGCCATCAGAGATTCAACACTGGTATGTCGCACCCTTGGGGAAGGTGAGTAGCGATTGCGCACCTCTAGTTTTCCCCCCGGGGCGTTGGGATGCTATTAAGAGGAACCACGGTTGACACAGGAGTTTGATACGCGAGACCGCCATGCTTTTCGCTGCCTGTGCTGCCTCGATGCATCGAGATTTTCGAAATCACCTCTTCGGGCATCTGCATACATCGTCCACAATTAATGTAACGTGCATAGACAACTCAGATGGAATTATACTCGGCGGCCATAGCGATCGCCGAGACGACCGACCTCGTACGTTCATTCCACTCTAACCTCGCCTCTGCTTATCTCATACGACCAGTCAACACCATGCCTCCGGTCTGTCCCAAAGAGTACGCGCCATCCGAAATCCGACGTCGTTCTCCCCAATATCGAGTTTCCGTTGGAGCTTTCCACCAGACTGGTGAGCGGCGGCCATTTTCTCCAATTCTCGTGTGTATCTCCTCTCGACGTCGTTTGGAGTGGCAGACGCAGCGTTCACCTCGTGCCGTATCCAGTATCCCATATGTGACGCGACCATGTTCATCCGCACTTGCCATTCCTCCAAGGTGTCCTGAAGCGTAAGCTCCGCCACACTCTGCGCTTGCGCGGGCATCGCCGACATAAAGGCGCCGTCCATGGACGGGAGAATAGGGTACGGCGTCTCTTGCGCTCGTATTTTCGCCGGAGAAATTCCCGTCGTCGCGTGCATGGGTGCCGACGGCACCTCGACTAGACATTCTCTTGCCTCGAGGGATTGGTCTGTGTCAAGTACGACGGCGTCGAACCCTTCCACACAGAGCGCTTCGCTGAGCTGTCGGCGAGAACGGACTAAGGTGAGACTTTGATTCGCTCCTTTTGGAAAAGAGACAGCGGAGTCGAGAACAGTGTTTGTCCTCACCGTGGTCACGTTCTCAGCTGACACAACTATTTGCGTTGCGATCCCATGCATTTCGAAATACTCCGCCGTGGCTTCGATGGCTTCGTTGGCGAGGCGCTTGGATGTCGGGCCTAGCGTCTTGCAGGAAAGATTCCAACTGCTCAGCACGCTCTTCTGAACAGACGCTTTCGTGAGCTGGCGCGTGATGTCAATGAGGATACTCAGTATCAGAATCTGACCGTGCAGAACTCACCGTTCGATAAGGGAATGTGACGAAAGAAGCCCCAGCCTGCGCACAGATAGCGGCGTGTGCTAGCCCCGAGACGAACAGGAGGTTTGTCTTCAGATCGTGCTTTTCTTTGAGCTTCATGGCAGCTTCGACGCCTTCTTGCGTTGCAGATATCTGATATTCATGTTTAGGGGACTACTAGCTTGGGAATACTAACATTTGACGGCGCTCACAGAGAAGACGATGCTACGCTTGCCGTAACCTTCGGCTTCAAAGAGGTCGATGATGTCTTTGGCTTGTCTCACCAGCGCGCGCGCGTTGCCAGACTTCCGTGGGTCAAGGAAGGTAAAGTGCAGTCCGTCCACTTCCCCAAGTTGCTCTACGCCGAGTGCGACCAGCTATGGACGGTCAGTCTTTGCCTGATTGCCGAGTCTTCTACTCACATAGCGGTTCATAGCCTCCGACAGGATCCTATGCACGTCCCAATCTTCGACAGGCCTGATCACGCTCTTCGGTCATGGTTGTTCATGACTCCCGAATGCAAGGCCTACGCACCTTCCTTGGATGGCACGCTTGAACGCGGTCCATGCATGATACACGGAATCGTCTTCATGGAGGCCTCGGCGCAGTAGGCTTGGCGTCAACCACGTCGCTTTGTACGGCCAACGTCGCTCCCTTAGCACTACACCAGTGGCGTTATAGGGTATACGAACCGTCGTCGGTAGGGTGCCCGATCTACATCAGATGATAGAAGCATGGAAGGAGATGTCACGACACTCACGGTCGCGATCCAAGGTCTGCGCTACGATGGCCTTCTCCCTCTGGAGCAACGTCTTCCATGCCGTTCCATCTGTTGTTTCAACCTGACACTTTCCGTCCTTCTCATGTCCCTTCGCTACCATGCTTGGCGGCAGTGGCGGCCTCTGCGTATCCACCTTTGAGGCCTGGGTGGTGTACTGGATCACTCCGGGCGTAACCACCGGAGGCGCTGGCTTGCTGCTCTTCGGAAATGGGATCGAAGACTTGGTGGCGAATTTGACGGACGACTTCTTGTTCGGGGTCGGGCTTTGAGGTGCGCCATAGCCGAACGGGGTTCCCAGAGTCGACCTCGGAGGCGACTTGACCGGAATGCGCGATGCTCCGGCGTCCTCGTCTTGACTTGAAATCTTGCGTCTCTTCAGTCCGATCAGTGGGACGGTCGGCATGTCCGGTGGCGTCAACGCCGATTCCGGGTCGAAGATCGTTGGCGAGGAGTACGCAGACATGTTGGATGAAGATAAAGGCAGGTGCTGAATGTGGTGCTGAAATGTTGCTCGTCAATGGGTTCGCGCTTTGTCGCTTTGTCACAGGAGCGTGATGCACGCGTCGCGAATGCCTTTTTGGACATGAATAAAACAACCACCACGGTTCACGCATGTACACCCAAGGGGTGATTGAGACCGACATCGCGAAAGAACGAGCTCATGCTCGCTTGCCCTGCACTCGGATGTGTTTTGGAGCCTTGTGAATATACATGAGAGCGGGTGACAAGTCTAAATGAACCGCTATCTTTGCTTCGAGCGCGTGACCACGAATGGCGCGAATGGCATCATACGTCTCCGATTCCAGCTCGCACGGCGGGCAAAGCGCCAGGCTTCAAGCAGGGAAATTAGTGCGGCATTTATGGGCAACGCAACCTGACCCGAGCATTTGCAGTGGGCCTTTCTATCCCTCTTTGTGATTTGGGAAATCTTATAGGCACGTTGCATCGCCCGTATAGTTAGCATAGAGTTCCTCGCCCGGACCATCGCGCTTTGCCTGCCGTGTCCTGCGCAGGCTATGAATCACCATTGCGCAGAACTTGAACTTTGTTCTTCGGTTTACTGCGAGCGCCATGTTCCTCACTGCCTCCCTTGTCATGTTCCTTTACTAAGCCATACCAGTAACCTCGTAGGATGACGCTGAAAGACGGTGATCAGCGGCGTACTACGCCTCGTTATCCATCCTGCGCCTGAGCATGTGGCGTGTCTTCTGTCAAGGCCAGCTCACCAAGGTGCGCTATCACTCCCATCGACCTACCACACAAGAGGTTCGGCAGTCATTCAGACTTCTTAATGGTGGACCTACGGCGGCGAGAAGAGCGGGTCCGCGCGGCGACATGGGTTCATCCGAATTTTCTAGGAGAAGCTCGTCGCAACCACGAGACTCATGTTAGCTCAAGAAGCACGGCGACCTGCTCAGGTGGTCAACTCTGGCCCATTCCTGTGGGGGAAAGACTATCTGGCAGTAACGGCCGATCAGTGAGATCCGAGGAGCAGACGCAATGTGGTATATCTACGCACAAGATATATACCGTGGGCTGAATGCTGAATGGCGCGAGTTCGGGCTCACGGTCCTGAAGAGCCCATCTTCTCCCTTTGGTCTCTATTGCTGCGAATCCCAGTCAACTCCCCCCGTACGGGCAACGATAACAGATGCAAATACGAGCTCCAGATGTCCGATAAACGATGCGAGTGGCACCCTAGTGATTGCCCACAGAAGACGTGCCGATGAACGAATATTAAGCTTCTACTTCTAGCAGACGAAGTTGACGGGGCTCCGTACTCCTGATTCCTCAGAATTTGATACTCTCGCGGGTCCCTTGGGCAGTGCCATCAGACTGTGGACGTCCAGACAAAGATTCGTCCCCATCTGTCAGTCCGGCGATCACAGCAGCATAGAACAACATGCGGACCGTAACCCCATTCGAGTCACCTGGATGAATTTGGGGCTTGACCAGTCACCTAACCCCTCGCGGACTCGTCTACCGCACTATAGCCATGGTAGCAACACGTGGGGGTGTGCCAAGGGAGATTGGACACCGCTTGGCCCGGTCAAATAAGGTATGGCGAGTGTTGGCTCCCTTCACGGAGATGGAGCTCATAACCGGGAGCCAACGGACGCCGCTCTGGAATCGCGATGGAGGAGAGGTGCTCTAGGAATCAATCGGTGTGCGCTGGGTCTACACTGTCCGAAGCCGCGCCAGGAATTTTGCACACGATCAGGGTTGACTACTGGTGAGTATATAGGGTTGGTGGCCCCGCTGGGGACGTGAGAACGCCGCAGACACACCTAGCAACAGCTCGGAAGCATCCGACAATCCCGGACGTGACGCGCACGCATTGCCCCGGGTGGCCGACGCGTTCTGCACCTTGTGCGCGGCCGGGCTTCACATGCCATGTATGGAAGGCTCAGTATAAACACCGTGCTCGGCAAGTGGACAGGAAAATGTAACCTTCAGGAACGCCTAGCACGAACCGGGCAAGTCATTTATTCGCTCGCCCCGTTGCATCCGGCGGCGCGCCTTCGGAAGTCGTCAACGACGGCGGCTCCCCAACGCTCTCCTCGACATTCAATTCGCTCCGTCGCAGGTCGCCGCCCGGGTCCCCGATGCGTTTGAGGAAAATATATGTGAGACGGGTGCGGTCGAGCAGGTTGATGCCTAGGAGACCGCACTTCGGACGCGGGCCGCATTGCGGTCGCAAGCAATGAGGACATCGAGTCAAACCGATGAAGGAGTCCACTGCCGCGAGCTCTGGTGGTACGGTAGCCACTCTGAGACCCTCCATGCCCACGGCTTGCCTGTGGGCGCTGAGCGGTCCGATAGGGAGGGTATGTAGAAGCAGAACCCTGCTGCCTGGGCGGAGCAGGGCATCTATCAAACTTAAACTGTAGCTTCGCGCCCGATCTGGCCTAGCGGTAGAAAAAATCAGAGCGGCGTTCTCTGCATGAGAAACATGGCCGATATATCAGGCAATGTAGCGCACCATGTCCTTGAGCGGAGCTGATATGGAAGCCCGCCTCCCGTCCGCTCGAGATGCTGCCGGGTGATGTATTCGCATAAACTACAAGGAAATCACCCAAGAGTGAATCTAACATGATGCAAATCCTATGTGATGATTCTACAAATATGATACATATCTGAGACCCAGACCTCCCGAAATAGAGCATTATGTCAAACAGCGAGATGTGAACACGACAGCGCGAAAGCAGGCAGGAAATTCGAGGATAGCAATATGACGTAGAATGGGAAGGCTGCCATTCTGATTTTTGACTTCAACGTTCTGAAGAGTACTGCCATTGAGCGATTGCTTGTCCGTGATTCGCGTGTATTGCTGATGAGTAGTGGCTAGTATTGGTTGTAGTTGGTTGCGGTGTCTGTGGACGGCGCCGTATCAGCCAAGCTGCTTGGCTCGAGAGGCAGGCAAGTACTGCTCACCGTATAGTGGTCGTCTTCTAGTTTGACAAATTCGTACTGAGATGCGCTGTGAGAGAAAGGAGGAAGAGCGGTATGACCATACGAGGACGACAAAGTTCGCTGATGAGAATTCGATGACAATGCGGAGGGCGCGTAGTCCGAAGGCTGTGGGTGGGAAAAAAGATGCTGTCACTAGGATCCCGAGCTCTCAATAGGCGCAGTTCTGCTGGAGGGCAGAGCCCGCAGAGACGGAGATAACACTCGCCGAGAACGAGGGACTAGACGTCGCGCTCGACGTCGGAGTCTCCGGCGGCACGGTGTACCCCGGCACACCATACGAGTAGTTGCTGCCCAGCGTTCGTGACGAGTACTGGGTGTACCCTGACGCGTGCGTCGCGCCCTGTGAGGAGTACTGGCCGGTGATAGAAGGAATGGATAGTGGGGGAGGTGGGGAATGGTTGTGGGGAGAGGATGTCTGTGGAGGGAAGCGTAAGCGACAATATTCAGTGCCTGTGGAGCATCATACCACATAAACGCCGTTCGCGTCTGTTGTCCTCCGCCGCTTCGTCTCGCGGTCGAAGTGTCGGTCATCGGGCAGAGGGGTGTAGGTGTCGCGGCGAAAGTCAGGGCGAAGCTGGGCGTTTTTCATTTCTAGCTGTCGCCGCAACTCCTCCACCTCGCGGTGCAACAGTTCGTTTTCTTGCTCCAACTCTCGTATGCGCACCAGAGGTGGGGGGATGGCGGCGACTTGGTCTGGCGAGAGCGCGAGGACTGACTGCAACTTCGTCACAGTTTGCTCCAACTACATGAGACGGACTTGGCATCAGTGACGCAAACACATAATGAAGATACGGCATCGTACCTGTTCTATGTAGGCTTTCCGCTTGGCGCGATGACGAGCCTGGGCTGGATAGTGTGGTGGTCGGTGCGGGGTAGACACGTAGGCGACGGCGACGACATACCCTTGGCATTTCGTGAACGTTCAGGACGATCAGCAGCGTGCTGACTGGACGGACTGGTGTGGTCCGCGGAGCCATCACGTTGAGAGTCAGTCGGCGAAGTCGAGGGCGTCATGTAACGTAAGTCAAGGGGAGCGAAGGCGATCGGGGTTGGAAAACACACACAGGATCAGTGGGATGCTTATATGGCACAGGACACTACGCGCTAACCGCCGGGGAGTCCGGTTACCATTGCGCGAGGGACCAGCAAACCGCGGATAGGGAGCTGGAGGACCCTAGCTGGCTGGACAAACGCGAACGGGGACCTCATGAGCGGCGAAATGTGGGGTTTTTCGCCCAGAGAAATCCCATCGTGGTAATTCGCCCACTCCAGCATGTGCGCAGAACTGGATCGCCGCGCAAGGGACTTGTTCGCCGGGAGTCGGCAGATCTAGACTGGACTATTTCAGTGCCGCGAAGCTCATCAGTCGAGAACAATTGATACCGTACAATATTTCCGCACAAAATCATGCAGGTATCGCTGCGTATCACCATCACGACTCGGGATAATTCCAGATAGGTTTTGCAGATATACAAATCCAGGCTTAGAACTGACCGTGGAAAGATGTCCAGGGTCGCAAGATTGTGAGATTGGTCGGCGCTCGCCTTTTGCCAGTTGTCCACACTCCGCGACGCCCTCCGCCACGAGTAGCTAGGCTTATCTCCTGCGCCGGGGGGTTGTTCGCTCTTCCATGAACGAGGCACTACCCCTCGCAGCTTGTGCCTCCTCCAAACGAATACAGGTGTCTTGCCCCGCAGCCCTTCATAGGGCGGTACTTAGAGAGGGGGGCATGCGTCCTTGCTCGGTTAGTGAGGTGCCTGGTCTTGAATTTCTCCAAATAGTAATCTCTCCATGCTCCGCCGTCTCCATAGCGCCTCTCTCAGGCGCATGTCGCTCGGAACTTTCCTGGAAATGCCTCACTATAATCCACGTTGTCTGCCTCGCCGCTGATGGCCCATTCACTCCCTCTCCTGGAGGCTACTCGCGAATAAAGGGGCATTTGTGAAAGGCGCGCGAACTGTAAACACATCATGGCAAAGCAGCTTCTCTTATCATCCTCAGGTCTCGCCGGTGCTTTCTCTTTGCCAAATAGCGCAGGCCTAGGGTCGACAGTGCGTCGTGTGATGTGCGCCTGCTCTACATCTTCTCGATAGCTTGCGGAGAACGTGCCGCCAACCACGAGTCCAAATCGTGGCGCCTTAACCCCCTTGCATACGTTCTCTTTCTTCATCTCTCACCATTGTCGGCAAATTCATAATCTTGTCCACAGTAAACATAAGGTAGGTGTGGAGTACGTTATGTTTGTGCCCGCCACTGCCGGCGTAATCGCGATTCAATCTGCCATCTAAGACTGAGACGACGATGTGGACAGACGATCGCCGCCGGTTCGGGTCGTTCCGGCCTACCATGGAACACCGTAGTCGCCCATCATGCATGCGCAGATGCCGTGGCCTCCCAGCAGGGCCCCCGCAGCCCCGCATCAGCACGGACAAAAGGATTCAATTCATAGCCGCGGTGTCAGGAGCAACGGAAGCAATGCGCGACTCAAGAAGGGCTGGAGTTGCGCCTGCCGGGGGAAGACATCAGCGCCCTCCGCAGCTTTGATGCGCGTGGCAGCGGGGCTCCATGCAAAGGTCCGACCCTCCAAGCTCAACCTCGAGACGATTTACGTCGCTGACAGTATTGCCAATTCCAGACAATTCCCTCGCATCTCAACTGTCCAGAAGGGCATAACGGCGGTTCTGCTCAGCATTCGAGAGGCATCGATGTCTGAACAGTTCTCGATCTGTCCCGAGCATTTACCATGGCGATGCCGGCGGCACAATGTGGACATTCCAATGGACCGATCCTCACGGTTTTCGTGCGCTCTGGACCCAGCAAGCTTTTTGCGAAGCATGCTTTTGGGCCCTGCCCCAGAGCTAACACCTGCCCCACTGCAGGCCCGAGGACTCGCCATCACTTGTGAGTAGTCCACGCACTGCATTAGACCCGTAAACGCTACTGAAATGCTGTTCAGACAATGTCCAGCCTCAGTGAGTATTTGCAATCTGAGTCTACCTGTCTCAGGATCCCGCTGATGGCAATCGGTGCAGCTACAACGATTGGCAGGCTCTTTCCTTTGTCCCCTCGTGGAAACTGTTTCCCCGTATTGGCCGATAGTCCCGCATACGTGAAGATCCGTGTATACCAGCGGACGAGGTGGGATGCTCCTCATCGCGGTGCCTCATTTGTACGGGTGCGGAAATTCGTGGCATACGTCATACAATTCATGACGATTTGAGGCCGCCATGATAGTGGAACGTTCCTGGAGGCTTGCGGCGGAGCGTTCTTTCGCAGGTAGTGAAGTGCTAGTCTCAAAGTCTTGAGCTTGATTCCTCATGCGTAGCCTTGTAAGACAACTGCCAGCGTGCAGGCGGCTTGGCCTGCTTAGTGCTCATAGGGGATAGGTATGTTCATGGGGCGTCGATTCCTTTCTTGCGGACAATAGAGTATTGAGCTGAGGTATAGGGATCCAGACGTGTTCACAGCCGCAAGCGAGTTTTCAATTGACCAAGGCCAGCAGCGATCCTTTATCCGCGAAAGGCGCCATTAGCATTTGGTTCTCGTTGTGAGTGCGACTTAGCGGGTGGTGAGTGGTACTTGCGCTCTGTGCCTTAAACCGTGGACCATGAATCTCTCTGCACTTCTCATTTTCATACTTGGGTGAACAGCTGATTTTTGACGGTATGCTGGGTACTCTTACAGGCGGTTGGTAAATGTCCGGGTGGTAAGCATGGCCCCCATACTAATCAGCAATGCATCCGGTCATTCTGGGCGACACGAGCTTCATGATCGCGGGGTATAATCCAGATCATGAAGATCTCATGAGATGAACGTTTATCCCTACCAGCCTACTCACATGAACACGTGAGTGTAATATAGGTTCAGATACACACTGGGCGGTGCTGATGCCGTAATGTCCTAGGCATCCACAAAGAACCTTTCCCGGGTAACCGGACCCTACTTTCTCAACCAGCGATGAGGCCCAGAGCCCGCTGTGACTGACGTTGATCTGTCAATGAGACTATGTACAGCAAATATCAAAGAGCCAGACTTGGAGCGCGGCGAGGCCATGACGATGTGGTTTTCTTGTTCATAGTCACGTTGACGCAGAATGCGCAACAAGGGCTCTGACTGAGGTGAGGAAGCGGAGGTAGCAGATTCAATGTGTGTGCGTTTGGGTAATTGGTCCTCGGGATTCGGCTCGACGTGATGTTCAGGGGAGTGTCGTACACGACGCACGACACAATTTCGGCATGTATTCGCTTAGCTGACGCTGTCCTACAAGCTGTTCCGACAGCGTTAGGATGGAGAAAACACGGCCGCGCAGGAATAACCTAGGTAACTTCTCCTAGCAGGCTCTGGCAATGCTAGCGCTCGTCAATGATTCAGCATTGTAGCCGCAGCACCCAGTCGGGAAAGACTGCCCTATATTGTTTTGCTGCTGACAGCTGAGGAAAGGACGTCGAGGTACCATGGCACGGAATCGTTACCAATGATGACTTTGCGTTCACTGGCTTAGAGGATGCATGCGGATATCGCTGCGCAACTACTGTGCGTTGCATTGAAGCAACTATCTGAGCGGTATGCTCCTACATTTGTAGCTTGTTCGCTGTGGATATGTGGCGTCTACTAACGTAAAATTGTAATTGTCCAGTGGAGTCAAGCTTTACGGGCAGGACGCACGGTGTTTTCACGCATTACGCATACGGGAACTCTCGCCGAGGTACCGCTGGGCATGCAACGACTGGCCAGAAAACAATTGTTGGCATACAACGTGGCAGCCACCGATCTAAATATTGATGCTGTATAGTATACAGGCGTAGCAGAATATCGCAGCTTTGGGTCTACAGCAGTCGAGGGATAGTCCTGAAGGGCGGATGCTTGGACCTTCGAATGTATGGAGAGTTGACGACGTCGGGAAGGGACCTAGGCTACACAGATGGGCCGGGTTCCCTCGCCATGCACCATAGTGGGAAGCCGGTGGAGTCCTTCGAGGTGAAGTTCTTCACGCCTCTATGAGAGAATCCAGACTTCCGAAACCACTGGACCTGTACCGGTAGGGTTGGAGAAATCGCGATGTATCATCAGTGCGACCGGTCCTACGCCATCGGGGCTAAGGACTCACGTGATATGGACTCTTAACGTCCGTGACTATCCGCTTCCCACTAGCATCAGCCTGGTGCAGGAATTGAACCGTCAATTAACATCGATGCAGGGAATATGAAGATGACTTGCCTGTTTGCTCACACTGCCAAGCAACAGTCGCCCGAGCCCCCGACGCTGTGCGTCAGGATGTACAGCGAGGACTTTGATATGCCATGCGTCCCTTCGGGCACGCTCCCCAGATCTGAACGCACTCCTGTAGAGCTCCTCGTAAGTAGGTATGTACTGGTGAAGAGTCAACGATCAATCGTTACAGCATGGTCGCGAGCCGGGCGAGCGTGAGCGTACATGATATGAATACCACTCGCTGAGGTACGGCGACAAGCTCCGGAGGAAGTCTTCTTGTTGACTGTGGGGCGCGAGCGCAGAACATGCAGAGTACAGGTGTGCTTTCAGTTCACATGGAAGAATGATGGTATGGACCAACTAGAAATGCCAGTCTTCCCCGGGGGCGATTGAGGCAATGACGCCTTGTATTCGTTCGTTCACGAGGCCAACATATACCTCTCCATGTGCGATACATGCACGGATGGTTCGCCTATGTACGTCGGCGTGCGTCCGGGCGGAATTTCCGCTGATTGACGCCATACCGACGTCTGCAGCGGGGAAGAAGGAGGAATAAATATGACGATGACCACGGAACACTTGCTGATGCACGTTAACTAGAATCACTGACCGTCTTTGAATGCGTCTAGTAAGATTTGCACGATGGCCTCAACATCTTCATCTGAAGGAGTGACCGACGATCAGTACGCGGAAGATGGGGACGGTGGCGGGTGCCTGTACCTGAAGGATCGACAAGGCGGCGGACAGATGCCATCTTGAACGACGGATGTTGGTATACGAGATGCGAGTTTAGGACTGAACTTGGATGGGTGTTCGGATGCGGACAGTGGTGTCTCCGACGTCGTGTGGCACTGACGAGGTCGAGGATTGCTGGATACCGCCTATACTTATAGGTCTGCCAAAGAGGCTGCCGCGTACCCGGCTCAGGCATGTCCTCGTCCACACGGCTCGACATCCCAACCGCGGACGCCGAGGATCACCGCTCGAGTCGCAGCGGTACACATCCCGAGGCCAGACGACAAGCGGCTCCGTCGTCCGTTTGCAAGCTTCCTCCCTATTCTCTCGACGTCGCGGGCTTGCCATATACTGCACCATACCAATTGCAGCCTCCTTGGCTGCCCCAAGGGGTGATATTGGCACTCACGAATCATGGACTGCTCGAGACTCTCCTGACAATTACAGCCTGCTAGCGTGTCGCGGAGTGTTGAGATCGACAAGGATAGGACCATTGGGTGTGTAGATGAGACGATAATGCGAGTGGAGACGCACCGAATCCGAAGAACCTGACTCCGAGCCTCGCCTTACGTTACCCGGTATGAATCCCATCTGCCGCGAGCTTGTCGAGTGTTCCATGCAACAGCCCATCTCCGAGTCCCGAACCTGTCAAGCCCTCTTCTCTCCGAACTAAGATGGTTGTGCCTCCGGTTCCACCTACGAGTCGCCGGATCGCTGGAAGCACAGGCCCGGTCAGTAAAAGCTCCAAGCCGGAGGGAGTCAGATGGCCCACCGGCCCTGCGACAGCAGCCGCTGTTATGTTTTCCCAGCAGGATCGCCCGGCGTGCGCTATTTGTAACCGCCACTTGGCGTCCGCTAGCCTGCTCACGCGCACACCCTTCGAACGGACGCCTCTTTATTGCGCTTGCGGACGGACGCATGCTGTCAGAACCGCTCAGCATGCAAAGGCTAGTAGGAAGCACCGCTGCCAACAAACTTCTCCGAGACTTGAACGGTTGCCAGTCCGCCGGACGACGCGAACAGTTGTCGATGTCGACGTCGCGCATGCGGCCTTCCTGGGCAGTTGTTTGCCAGCTTCTCTCCGATGCATTCGTCTAGGGGTGTTTCTTCGGCTCAAGAAGGCGGCGGTGGTTCGCGTCTCCACAGGGAGGGGCCCCCAGGATGCAATGGAGCACACGCTCCCAGTGCGAACGCCCGCCTGCATGGGTATGTCGCATCATGCTCCGTCCCAAGGTTCATTCATTGATGCCTATCCTATCACGGACGTCTATCAGTTCAGCACCCGTATTGCTCTATTGCCCCCTCCTAGGTTTATGAGTCGAAGCGTCGGGGATGAGCGCGGCCTGAGTGGGCAGGTCAATGCAGCGCTTTCACACTGAGTCGTAGAGCACCATCACGCACTTTGGCTTAGGCTCTCGTCGGCGGCCTCTCGGTGCTTCTCGTACGTCCACGAGAAGGCTCCTATCGGAATATATGCGCCCGTCGCTGGGTTGGCTCAATGGCACGTATTTTTGCACTGTGCTCCAGACTCGGACAAAGCTCTTCAGCAGGCCTTGCTAATAGCGCACAGACGGACCGCAATATGCAAACCTTCACTCACCTTCACTCACACTCACGTTGAGCAGGCCCGCATAATGAAGCGGTCGTCGCCGACGTCAAAGAGCTTATGATGCCTAACGGCTCTTGCGGGAACATAGTGACCCAAGTCCGGGAATTCGAAGCGTGAAGCCAGCGATGGCTCAGCTCAGACTTGACGAAGACTGTCAGACAAGGTGGCATCCAAGGAAATTAACTGCCAAGCGCAACTGGACTTTGGAAGGCTGTTACGCCGTGAAGCTTCATCGAGAAGTGTACGTACTTTGCAGCGTCGCGACACAGCCATAGTGACCTCTCCAGCCCTTCCTGCGGAACAAGAGTAACCATCCAGGAACGCGCTTCCCAAGCCAAGTACTGGGGGGTGGTCAGATGCGCCCACATGCACCGTGGCAAATGCGCGCGAGCTGGCTGGGCCTGAGAGCCCGCGCGCGCGACAGCGAGCGAGGCCCGAGACGTAAACCAAGTGTGAACTCTGGAGGCCGGCTCTCGCCCCGGCCCAGCGAACGCGGCTGGACCCCCATCCCGCGACAGACGACCGCACGCTCGCGCTCGCCTGCTCCATTCGCAGCGGTCGCGGAGGACGACGCGGGCTTCCTCGTCTGCTCCTCTCCGCGCCTTCGTGCAGACTGGACCCGTGTCCCCGCGTCTTCCTCGTCGCCCCACCCGTGTGGGCAGGCAGCACTTATGCCCGCCCAGCGCGCGCCCTAGCCCTTGGGACTTTTCCACCGCACGGACACCGCGTGTCTGGGCACGCGGGCACCGTCGTCGGCTCGAGCGGCCTGCCTCCCTAGGCGCCACTAGGTCGATCGAGACCGCGCAGGATGCACTTGCTGCGTCTGGCGTGACCACCGAGCCGCCGCGAGCGCCGCTAGCGAGGGAAGGCGCAGACGATCGGGGCGTCCATTGTGCAGTCAACTTTCCAACTCAGTCAGACATCTGGAAGGGCCCGCTACCCGCTCGCTGCTTCGCAGGCAGAGCATGCGCATCGAATGGTGTCCTCCTGTCATTCCCCGGCTCATGTCGGCGCTGCATTGCGGGATCCCGAGCTCGGCACTGGACTGGCCAGCTGAACTGCCTAGGTTGGGAACAGACCCCGCGCACGACGCAGACGCACGGACGGCCGTGGTCGAGATGAGCGAGCTTCCCTGTCCCCGTTCTATCTCCCGCATCTGGCAAGTTCAGAGGTTGCGGATGATCGATTGTCTCCTAGGTGCGTGTAACACGACGCCTTCCGGATCGCTCTCACGCGCCCGTCTCACAAGCTCACGTCTATAACTACAAGCTCGCGGCAAATAGACAGAACATGGAAGCTCCCAAGTACGCCTTGTCATACCTGACACTTTGCGCTACTCTTCCATTCCGGCACGTACACGCGTCGATGGGACTCATCACCACGACGATATGGTCTCCTAGCTACAAGCTGCCCCTTCATGGTCTCCGCAATATTCGACCTTTTAGGTCACTCATAAACTTCAGATACGGGCTCGGTACCTACTTACATCTCAGCGTTCTCAACAACATCGCAACTGGGGAGCGACGAGCACAGAATGACATCAACACGGCAGCTCCGCATTCTACGCGTTCTGCAACGTTTTCACACAGATCCATGGCACATAGCCATCTCTCAGACGGTGTGTTAGCTCCCAAACTAGATTGCTATCGCTAGCAACGTATATAAAACAACGATAACTAACATTACCGACGGGCGTATCCACGAAACGAAAGGACGTGTGCAAACGACTGGCGCAAGCCACCCGACCGAACGACAACAAAGATAGTCCGTATGTGTAGAGGCAGAAAGAGAGATAGATTGAGCACAAACACGTGGTAGATCGTACAGTCCGACGACGAAACTCTGCAGCGGCAGGCCCCCCTTGCATCGCCCATGCCTGGCGCACGGCGTCTAAAAGTTCTCTGTTGTGCGACGGAAACGACGACGAAGGCGAAGGCAGAGTAAGCACCCTGACCGTGGAAGACACGCAGAAGCAGAGAAGGAGAGCAGACGCACCCTTTCCGAAGAAGAACTTGGTGCCCTTGGGCGACGAGTACTTGTTGCTCATGGTGTGCAGCTGCCGCGAAAGCACCGACGGCCCGCAGAAGAACACGCCGACGTCCGTCTCCGGGTGCTTCTCCGCGATCGAGCTGAATACGCGGTCCCAGTTCGGGCGCCCGAAGTGCGTCGGGGCCCGCAGGGAGGTGATCGCGTCCTTCTCCGCGCCGACGTCCTGGACGATGATGTTGTTCATGTCCTCCTCCTTGATCTTCGCGGTCAGGTAGATGTTGATCTCGATCCGGTTCTGCGTATCCTGCTCCTCGATCGCGTGCAGCAGCGAGTGGAACCACTCGGCGGAGCCGAAGTCGCGGATGACCCACGTGAAGTACACCTTGGAGAGCCGCGTCGGCTTCGACGAGTTGAAGTTGTTCATGCGGTACCAGATCGACTTGAGGATCGACGCGAACGGCGTGACGCCGATACCGGCGCCGACGAGGAGCACGGTCTCGTAGTTGAGGAAGTCCTCGGACGCGGAGCCGAAGGGGCCGTCGACCATGACGCGGGGGAGGACGCGGTTGATGGGCGGGTTCGTAGAGGTGCCGACAACCTTGCCTCCGGCATCGCTCTTCTCGCCCTTCTCATTCCTGCCGAAGTCGCAGCCGACAGCCTTCGCGAAGGCAGTGGTAAAGTCGCCGGCGACGCGGATGTGGACGGAAATATAGTCCTCTTCAGGGGCACTGTGATTTCGTGAGCGAGAAGTCCAACCTTGGGATGAGAAGCGCAGCGTACCTGGTAAGGGTGAAGGGGTGCCACTGGAAGTAGGAGATCTCAGGGCAGCACAAGAAGATGTACTGGCCGGCACGAGTGGTCGTCTTCTCCTTCTTGATCTGGATTTCCATGACGTTCGAGGGGTGCTGAATGACCTTGGAGATGTAGGTGCGGTGACGGGAGCGGACCTCACGAAGGATACGCTCGTAAATCCAGATGACACCGCCGACAAGCCAGTAGCGCTACAAGGATGTCAGATTTCCCCCTTCCCTTGCTCAGATGCTCAGAATACGAGACATACCCAGAAAACGCCGATAGTGTTGTACGAACAATAGGGCGGACGGTCGGGCTTGATCATGCAGAACATACCGTGGAGCTGCCAGTTGATGAAGAAGACGATGAAGAGATGGTGCGAGTACCAGAACCACTCAAAGTGGGCACGGCGACGCTTCTCGATCGCGAACCAGACCATGATACCGAGCGCGGCGGTCATAATCCAGCCGGTCGCACCGGGGCCAGTGACAAAGTTGGCGGAGATGAACGCAATGACCTTCTTGCCGGTCGTCGTCGCGTCGGGGTCGATCATGGCGAGCTCGGTGAAGTTGACCATATGGGCGACAATGTGGACGATGGAGAAGATGACGATGGACCACGCGACGGCCTTGTGGAACGTGATGTTCTTGTCGAACGGAATGACCTGGTTCAAGGACGTGCGGCGGAGCATCGAGATGAAGTTGCGGCAAACCGGGAGGAGGATGAAGGCGACATCGACGTGCAACATGAGTGCAGCCGTACGGGCGATCGCTATAGTTCAGACAAGACATTAGGGGGGCGCTGTGACCTGAATAGCACAGTTGTGAGCCACTCACGGAAGGTGATGCCGAATGTCGAATTGGAGCCGACCAAGTTGTCCTTGAGCCGATAGTGCACGAACCCGAGAGCAATGACCAGGGCATGCAAGAGCAAAAAGCCAAAGAAGAAGAGGCGGCGACCACCTTCGTTGATCATCCAGTGGTTATACTTCTCCGTCAGCGTGCGGGGCACATAGGGCGTCACGCCTTGGGAGGTGGTGGTGTTGGTGCGCTGGAGCCCCTGGAGGCGGCGGCGCTCGGTCTTGTTGCGCTGGAGGTGGCCAGGGCCATTGCCGTTGATGACGATGTCGGGGTGCTGCTCGAGAGAGGGGATCTTGCCGTCTGAGAAATCCATGCTGGACTGACGCCTTTTGTTAAAGGGCATGATTTGGCTGCCTGTGGGGGCGGTTGTCGGTCGGGTCGGGACAAGAGCGAAGTCGACGTCCTGCGCAGAATGAGGGCCTGCCTGTAGAAAAGGACAAGGACGGGAGAGGGAGAAGGAAGAAAAGAATGGGAGGGGGCAGAGGTGGTGGGGGGCGGGTGAGATGTTTTGTGATTTGCTCGTGCAGGAGCGAGCTGTTGCTGGGCGCTAGCTGCGACACCCGCTTTATGTTGCTATGCGACCCCCTGGCCGACGCCTTCCAGACCCTCTCCAGCCTGCCCCGCTGCGCCGGAACCGTCCTCGACCAGTTCCCATCTCCACCGCACAATCATCTCAACAGACACCGGTGTCCAATCAACCTCAGTAATCTCCATACAAACCCAGGTCAGCGTTCGCTCGTACTGCCAGAGAGCCTCCGAAACGCCGTCAGCTTGCCACAGATATGTCAGAACAAACATAGCCCTGCGATGGACGAGAAGGCGATCATCGCTCAGCCGCCGCATCAACCCTGCCGGCTCACGGAACAGAGCACTCTGCATAACTAGTGTCGTGCGCGTTGCGCTGTCTGCCTTCTGTCATTTCTACGCCAACGTTGGACCGTGCTGCGCATCCCTCCGTCCTTGATCAGACAATTTTGATAAAAATTATTGACCTCTTTCCGCCCTCCGTCTGCTGCTATGCTATGTATGCGCTCATCACCTCCACGCAGCGTCAGCTGCGTCCCCTTCGATGAATCACTGCTTCCTGACCGCCGCCCACGCCCAACGTTAACAACGGAGAACGGCCAGCAACCGCGATGACGACAGGTGCCCACGTATTAATACCCCAGCGCAAAGATAGCAGCTCAAGTTTAGAAAAACGACAGACGGTGAGGAAACGGCACCCACCCTCCGCAGGCGACCCCCGCGACGCTTGCTACGTTCACACACGCAAATTCAGCGACCTGATCGCCGGGAACGGCGATGTTGATCTGCTCGAACGTGAGGTCTGTGCATGGTGCCGCAGGGCTGCATTCGAGATCAACGACTGCGGAACGCCAAGGATAATCAGTGTATATCTCTTATCTGTGGAAAAACAGAATGCGCGAGAGCACCAAGCGGGCTGGTAGAAGGTACTTATCTGTATCCATTGTTGATTGCTACGGATTCTCGAGAAGAGCCCGACGAGCACACAAGCTGGAGCAATCAAGCATCCAAACAAAGCAAGCACCGATTGCATCCACAGACCGCCATCGTTTCGGAGCAATATCATGCCCGAACACGGAATTGTTTGATCGCAGGTGCGTACATACCTGTAGATGTCTGTGCGGTCCCCGTCCAATTCGTGAAGGTGAGATTGGTGAATTGCAATTTCGACGGTTTGTCCCCTCTGATGTAGCCAGCAGTGCGTCAGCCCACAACACGTATACGTACATCAGGAAGATTAGCGTCAGTATATGGCTGGATGCCTCGGAGCCGGGACTCACGGATGTCCGAGGTTTGTTTGATAGACCTGGATAGGCGTTGTGACCTGATCCAGGTTGACGTTTCGCGCGACCACGCCAGATACGCGTCCTAGAAATGTATACCGAAGACATGCCGCTGTGAGTTTCCCGTACTTGTCTTGCACCGCAATCGCGCTCTGGACTTACCTCCGCCTGCTCCTCCTCCCGTAGGTGGAAACCCTATCCTCGTCCCCGTCCACGACTTGAAGTACACCTGTCGAGTCTTCGTCAACTATCGTATTCCGTTTGCAAACCTGACGGAAGTCACGCACCCCATGCTCCATCAGCGGCTGGACTTGGGCGTCCGGTCGCACGAACTTGTCAGATGGAGCACACAGGACGTTCACCAGACGCTCGTCGTCAGAGAGACAATCACATTACGGACGTAGCGTTTGCGCGCGCAGTCGAGACAAAGAGGAGACGACGATGTGCTTACTCACCGTTATGTCTTCCAAAACGACGTTATCGACGTAGTCAGGCTGACCGTTACCGTCAATACCGTCGGGTTCTCACGTACTGTACGTCGAGAAGGGGAAGGACGTACGAGCTGATAGTACTGCCCCACCGAGCCGAACGCGATGCCCGTCCCCCCGCGGCAGGTGACGTTCTTGGCGAATACGTTCGTCGAGTTCTGCGATGCATGAAGGCGTCCAGGCAGTCAGCGTACGTGAGCGTGCGAGGCCTCGGGACCGAACCCGAGGAAGCGGAACGCGTACCCCCTTGATTGCCAAGCAATCATCTCCAGTGGTGATCTGCGATACGTTCCGTAACGGTCAATTGAGATGCTATGCGTGCTGAGAGTGGAATGGAGAAGGGGTCCCAAGAGAAGATGTGGACGCACGTCCCAGTTGAGCATCGTGATGTTGTCCGATCGGTACGTGTCGATCCCTGCCGGGCCCGAGGGTCATATGAGCGGCGGACGCACCCAGCACTTGCTTCGGCGATGTAGAAGAAGTAGCAGTACCCAACGTACCGTCCGTGTTCCAAACGATGCTGGCCAGGTACGAACCAAACGGTGAGCGATGGGCGCGCAATCATGGGCAGCACGCATCGCGCGCACGAAACGGAGCAAACGCCAACACGCTCACTTTTGTCCGAACCACGTCTCGTCCGCGTTCTCGGACACGCACGTCATCCCGTCGTACAGCACGTCGCTCGAGTCCGCGACCGCGTTGCACCAGAACGGCGGGCCGTCCACCCTGAAGTCCCGCACCGTCCCCCTCGCGACGTGCGACAGCGTGAGCGACACAGGTCGCCCGTCGCCGTCGAGGCGCGTCGCGTTTCCGTACCACGACCACCAGTGCTGGCCGTTGCCGACGATGCCCCCCGTGCCGTGCGCGTCGATGGTGAAGTCATGGCCGGAGACGACGAACCACGACGCTTGGGACTGGATGAAGATGACGCGGTAGGTCGACGCGGGGTCCATCCAATGCTCGAGGTCGAAGACGAACTGCGGCGGGTGGAGGTCAGTACGTGTCCGAGGGACGTAGGATGAATGATCTGCGCACGTTCAGAGACCCGTGAAGGTCGACGTGGGAGTTGGCGAGGTCCCAATGCATTTTACTGAGCGAGCTCACGGTCAGCACGCTTCAAAGCATGTCGCTGCAGGACTAGACTCACCGGGTGATGTTGTATTCACCAGCTTCCAGAACAGTTGTCCCGCCGTACCCACACGCAGCAATAGCTGCTTCGATCTGGACGCATAAAGTGAATTGAGCTAGCGTAGGTAGGCAGAATCATTTGCGCATATATGAAGAGCAACACGAACCTGAGAGACGTCACTTTGGCTGTGTCCCAAAGGCTTGATGGTGCATGTCCTTGCGTTAGCTCTTGACGCACCTAGCGCGATAATGAGGAATACGCCTGGGATATGCATATCGGACAGCTTCTCTCTGCACACTCCGACTTGGAGGCATCGATCGCGGCTCTTATAGGCCACCTGTAGCATAAATTATGTCATGGAGGATGCCATACAGGCGGGTCACCGCTGTAGGCAGCGATTGTCACGAGGGTGGAGGTGATCAGGAAGGACAGTCACGAGGGTCTACGGGCCGGATAGAAGGAATGCAATAGCTTCGTGGGACGTTCAGAATCTCTACGTTACCTTTACCTACTAGGGCGACCGGAACGTGGCATGCTGTTCTGCGTCGGCACAAGCTTGAGCAAGGGCAAGGTTCTCTAAACAACAGAGACATACGACGTGTAATGTCGATCTAGCAAGGGCATTACACTCATCACCATGATGGCGGAACGACAATGTCGGCTGAGGTCCATATAAATGTGAACACATCAAATGAATTGACAAAGAGACGGCCACAATGCGCAATCCGGCAGAATTGTCAAGTGTACGGTACGCTGGCTTAGGTTTGAGGCGTGCTAGTGGTCACGTACATAGCTTGTAATATTGCGAAGTACTATACACAAGATATATCCAGATTGCGCGAACAGGCTCACGACAGAGATTGGGTACGACGCAGTGTGGCTCCTTGAACTGAGAAGTCACGCAAACAGGCGCCAAACAGGGTACACGCGAAGCATGTTCATCGCGGCTTCCACAGAGACGCCAACTGTGGCTAGGCAGCACAACCGCTCTCTTCATATCATGTCTCTGGTACCATGGGGGAAGCTCCAGATCGGCACCCTCGCTGCAGTCATTCAAGACCTTGGGCTCAAGCCCTATACCACCAGAACTGCCCGCAAGCACGAGCTCGTCAGGCTACTGCAATCCATTGAGCTAGAAGGATGTGAGCCTACTACTCCCAATCGCCCCCGTCCCATTCAAACTCTTCACGCAGTGTCGCCCGTCCTGCTACGCCTCCAAGAGGAGCGCAGTTCCTCCCAGACCTCTGACCACGAGCGGGAGGAGAGCCCCGAGCTCGAGTACCTCGGGGCCCCTCCGTCTGGCTCCTCCGCCCCCGCCCCCGTACGTCCCGTCGTAGAGATTCCCGTCCACTCCTCCCCCCGCTCTCCTCTACAACACCGCGCGGGCCCATCGCGCGCACGCACAAGGGCCCGCACAGAACCCAGTCCCTCCCCCTCCCCCTCCCCTATCCCAGGTCCATCCGGTATCGGCCCCCTGAAGTCGCGGAAGAGACAGCGGGGCGCGCACGTCGAACCCCGTGCAAAGGGACAGCGCCGGCCGTCCGTGGACCTGAGCAACGTCCCCCCACCGAGCTACGCGATACTCTACCAGGAGCGCCAGAACATCAGCCTGCCGCGGCAGGAGCCCTGGCCGCTCCTGAACCCGTACGAGACGTTCGACGGGGTCGTCATCCCCGCCAGACAGAAGAAACGAGCGCGGGTCGAGGTGGAGCGGAGGCAGGGGGATTCGGAGGGAACCCCAGAGTTGGATGACCGGCCGATGATCGTTGGGGTCTGGGACGAGGAAGGGAGCGTGAGCGAGGCTGGCGTTGCTAGGGCAGAGAGGAGCACGGGCGACGGGGCGTCGACGACTGCGAGTGTGACGGGGCGCATGGAAGCCATCGTGGTGACGAGCGCGAAGGCGTCGAAGGCCGCAAGCTCTCGTCGGAGGCAGGTGGTGCTTAGCGATGATGAGAGGGGCGTGGAGATGTAGGGTGGTGGAAGGAAGGTGAAATGGTTGTATCGCTTGTACTGATGGGTCGTCCATATACCGGTAAGTTCTGCGAGAGCTACTGTGTTTGCGCAAATGTAAGTGCTAGGTGTACAATGCAGTAGGCCCAGCGCAAGTTTGCTAAGCGTGGCTCCCGAAGTTCACACAGTGCACCCTCACTCTGTTCTGCATCCACGTTGGAATTACGGAGATGGAGTGACAACGGGGACAACGACGTCATGCCATTAACCCGCAGGGATCTAGTGCATAGGATGCTCTAACACAACGCAACGATCTACTGCTGGAGCTGGTCCCGCTCAGCCTTCGCCTTCGCAGCCGCCTCAAGCTCTGCAAACGTCCCGCTCTTCAAGAACATGCTCCCGAAGATCCCGCCCTCCTTCTGGCCTTACGAGAAGTTTGTGCTCCCGGGCGAGAGCTGCGTGTCAAGCCGTGCCCTCGGTCTCGGTTTCGGTCTCGGTCTCGGTCGGGGAGGCGGAGGCTGCTGCGGAGGCCTCGCGGGAGGCGCGCTGGGACTCTGAGAGATCGCTGGATACTTCGCTTCTGAGATCTCTCGCGAGAGGTGCACGAGGTCGTACAGATGCAATTGCTGCCGAAGGTAGAGAGTGTGGCACATGTCCGGAACAATTGCAAGCGCGATCATGACGGCATGACGACTCTATGAATATGTTCTATAGTCTGCCAGCTGGCAATAATGAGCCTCCAAAATCATTCTCTTGGAGATTCAATTCAATGTCCCATGTTCTACAGTCTTGGACTTGTACCGTGGCATCGATTCAGTGTGACTCCCGTCAAGAAAGGAAAGTCACGCGTGACGTATGGCCACAGTCAGCGTTTTCCGGAGGGCATCCACTCGGAACCACTGGCACTGATCAAAACAGGGTTGCAGGCCTGAGGTGCTCTTTCTGCCGTCCTCGACTCTAAGACTCATTGTCTACCTCAGATTGTCGCGTGTCGACGACCTCCGGTCCCCTCAACCTCTTAGCGCAGACTTTCAACATCCCAGTCCTAGTGTCGTCAGCGCATATTCCATCTGTCGCGAAGCCGAGCGGGTCGTTGACTCAAATCAAGCCCAAGTGCCATGCAACAATACCACCGAGAAGATGAAGCTGGTCAACATACGCATCTTGGACACCTTCTGTCTCAGTCCCACTATCTTTCTGATACGGCTATCTCCACTGTCACCAAAGCTATATTTTCTTGCCTTAAGTCTGTAGTGGGGACCGACGAAGATGACATTGAGGAGTTGAACAAACTGGGCGAGTATCACAAGAACTGTCTCTTACGTCCGTGTGAGTGTCAAGCTATCGTTATCTTGACCCAGACTTTGTCTGATTATAGAGTCCTCGAGTTCGCAAATTCACAACCCGAACCTCCAGCGGTTGGTCCCCCCCTTCACGACCCTTGTTTGAGCTCACGAAGGAGCAGATCAATGAGATGCTCGCGGAGTCCCCGAGGAATTTCTCGACGTCGAGAAAGCTGGTGCGTCATGCAGACATGCCTGTTGCCCACATCCTGCGCTTCTCATGCCACTGGCTGCAGGTGATGAAGCGCGAAGACTACCGATGCATTGTGACTCGCATAGCAGACTTTGATTTCATTCAAGAACTCGAATATTCAACAGGTCAGCCGTGTGAGGGGACCGTCGAGTCTTTGGTGTGTTGTCACATCTTTGCGGAATCCACAAACCTCGATATCAACGAGGGGGTCAAGGTGAGCGTCAATCGAAGGCATACTCAATACTCGTTTCTATGCACCGGAGAGCCTGACAGCGCGGAATGAGGACGTCGTGACTTTTCAAAACTTGCGGAGCTCTACCTACCGTAGGTATCAAATAAAACGATATAAACTCGTAATGTCAATTCGGAGGAGGCTAGACTCAAGCACCCTCACCCCGCTTTACCGGGCTCTCTCCTGTGCTACAGACAGAACTGAGCACAGACTGAAGTCATCGAAGGACATTGTCTTGATCTTTGCGAAGCGTGATTCCAGCATGAACGCGTCACGGTGGGCCGTCTTAGAGAGCTTCGACTATGCTCACATTATTCGCAAGTTCGCCATCGTCGACAATATACATTCGCTGGACAACATGATGATGATGACACACTTTGCGCACCATGTTTGACACGCTCATGATGTGATTCGAGCCCGTTAAGGTATGCCTTCATATCAAGTGCACCCGTCCCTTCTTTAATTGAACGGCTGCTAGGATGTCCCGAATCGATATCGGGTTTGCTCAGTCGCCACACTACCGCACGGGCTCCCCAGGGGGCAGGCGATGGCCACCTTCCAATCGGCTGACCCCGACTTGTCGCTGCCGCATCCCGAATACTTGCGCATCCACGCGGCATGCTGCAGAGTGGCGCATCTTTCCGGGGCATCTGGTCTCTTCCACGAGCTGGAGAGGGACATGGAGTCCAACCCCGACCCCGCGGCGGAAGCGCCGCAGTTCGCCAAAACTTTGCACGCAAAGCTCGAGCATCTTTGCTTTGGTCGAGGCCAGGTAGTACGGGTGCCGGCGCCAAACGTGCAGTTCGAGCGACGGGTGCTCTTGCTCGACGCAGTTTTCTCCCGTCCCACCGCTTCACGGCCGCCTCCTCTCGCTCGCTCGTCCTTTTGTGGCTTCTTCATCCCGCCCGCCCGCCACCTGTTTTTTGGTACTTAGGCTCATCTGGCGATACCAATGGCTCCGAACGCCCACACACGTCACCCGCGGTCGTTCAGGACTAAACCTCGTTGGAGCTCGCCCGACCGCCCAGCGGTCTCGCCTCTACCGCGTCCCAGCCTGTCTGCGCAGGGTCTCCCCGCCCAACCCACGCAAGTCCTGGCCCCCGCAATTGCGTCTCACCAGCGAGCTAGCCCGTTGACCAGCGAAGGCCGCAAGCTTCGTCGGAGGCAGGCGATGGCTAATAAGCGATGATGCGATGAATGCGGAGATGTAGGGTGGCGGAAGGAAGGTGATCTAGTTGTACTGTATGCACTCATGGTTCGTGCGTATACCAAGTTCTACCAAAGCTGCCATACTTGCGCCAACGTCAGTGTCGTATACACAATGCAGTAGGCTCAGCGCAAGTCTGCGAAGCGTGGCTGCCAATTTTCACTCAGTGCGTCCGAGCTCTGTTCAGTATTCACGCTGGCGCATGAAATTGGATGGCAAATAGAAACAAGGATGTCCTACGATTATCCCACAAAGATGCAGTACATAGGATTTTGCTCTAACCCAACACAACTATCTACTGCTGGAGCTGGTCCCGCTCAGCCTTCGCCTTCGCAGCCGCCTCAAGCTCGGCAAACGTCCCGCTCTTCAGACACATACTCCTGAAGATCCCACCCTCCTTTTGGATCAGGTTGAGCGGGGTGTCGCACTCGGCCAGCTCGCCCTTGTCGAGCACGACTAGCCTGTCGTAGTCGATGACCGTCCTTAGCCGATGCGCGACCGTGAGAAGCATCGAGTTCCCGAACTCCTCGCGGATCGTCGCCTGGATCTTCGCATCCGTCGCGAAGTCGATGCTGCTCGTCGCCTCGTCGAGCACGATGATCGCGCTCCGGCGCAGGAGCGCGCGCGCCATCGCGATGAGCTGCCGCTGGCCCTGCGAGAAGTTCGTGCCCCCCGGCGAGACCTGCGTGTCGAGCGTGATGACGGTTTTGCCCTCGGTCTCGGTCGGGGAGGTGGAGACGGAGGCGATGGTCGCCTCGCGGCCGGTCTCGCCTTCGTGGATAGAGGCGGCGCGGGATGCGGCGGCAGAGGCTTCTCGGGAGGTGCGCTGGGAGACGGCTTGGCTGTCGGTGATCAATTGCACGCGCTCGAGGACGTCGATGCACTCTGCGTCGGTGTGCTCGCCTGTCGCGAACATGTCAGCCCCTGTCATGACAACGTTTGGCTGCGCGACATACCAAATGGATCCAGATTGTCGCGCAGCGTGCCCGAAAACAGCGTGGCATCCTGAGGAATGAAGGTCTGGAGAATTGGTTAGTCTTCATCCGCTGCAGAGTGAAGTCATAGCGGTACTCACGATACGAGACCGCAGGTCATGAAGCCCGATTGTGCTGATGTCAATGCCGTCAATAATGATTCTACCGCTAGTAGGATCAACCTATATCAGTCAATGCGTCAGTCACCTCGGCCACATCTCACGAGAAGACAACAACGCACGAATCGCAGGACACTCATAGCAAGTGTTGACTTGCCACTGCCGGTTCTCCCAAGTAGACCAACGCGCTCTTTCGCCTTCAGGGTAAACGAGATACCCTTGAGCACTGCAGGGAGGTCTGGTGCGTACTTCACAACGAGGTCTTCCACGATAAGCATCGAGTCGCTGTTCGAACTCGTCGAGGAAGGCCAGTACGCAGGGGGGCGATTGGACTCGATGATCGCAGGAGCCTCCTGAGGGAGGTCGAGGTACTCGACAACACGCTCGACGGAACTGATCAGGTGACAATGGTCAGTCCTACTGCTCACTCGACAGGACAGGGTACTCACTTGAGATCGAGCTCAAGAGCTGTCCAGAAGCGACATGCCCAGTAGACGCTGTTGGTGAATGACATCGCGGACGTAATACAAATACCAGCAAGACCAGCATCAACGTATCCCGAAAGTGCGAAAAGTGTTGTCGCAAAGATACCGGCCGCACCAAGCGCGTCGAACGTCAGGAGCAGCCAACGGTTCGTCATCCAGAATGTGTACCACATCTGCGTGGTGAGGTTGACCTTGTCATACAGGTCATTGAGGAAGCGCTCCTCTGCACTGAACGCGCGGACAGTGACGATGCCCTCGAGTAGTTCGTTGAAGTTGGCAAAGATGGGGCTGCGCGTGTTCGACTCCATCCGACGAATGTCACGGCCAGTGTTAAGATAGGCGATCGCGAAGCGGCGGTAGAAGAATCCAAGGACGATGGCCGGGAAGATGAAGAGTGGGAATACGTAGCTGCCCAGGCATGTTAGCAAGCGGAATCCACTCCAACTGAGCTTGGCTTACATGATGGTCAATACGGACACCATGAAAAGCGCCAAGGACGAGTTAACTTGCTGCAAAGTGGAAGCCAGGGAACTGTCGACCGTCTCGACGTCTTTACTGAACCGATTCAGCATGCGGCCCTGGGGCGTGACGTCGTGCCACCTCATTGTCGCGTACACGACAGTCCGCAACAGCTTCTCGAACAAGATCCTCGACGCCCGAAGTGCCCCGGTGTACTGAGTGATGACAGCGCAGATGTTAATGATACCAGTGGACAGTGCGATCGCGGCGTAGATGCCGATGTAGAAGAATGGATGCTCCTGGGCCGGGGGAAAAGTGATCTTCAGATCGTACGGAACGACGGGTGCATGAGCTACGGTGGTATGGTGGAAGTGCGAAAGACCGTCATCGAGAACGTGTTGATGTTCGGCGTAATCCCTATAGGAGTATGCGAACTGCTGCGGGATCACGGTTCCGTTTTGCCCATATGCGTCGCCCCAGATCTGTTAACCATTAGCTGGAAAGTACCTGACCCACTACGTGTTTGACACTTACCTTGATCCAAACCTTCTCGGAAACACCAGATAGCTGGCTCAGGATGATCAGGCCGAATAAGATACCCCACGTCCAATACGACCTGTGGGATGGTCAGCGAGCTCGTCTCCCATGCAAAAACCGTGAAGACGTACGAAGCCTTCAAATAGGTATTATAGATATTCCACTTCACGCTACCCGTTTCCCGGTGCTCCTCTTCGATGAGCTTTCTCGGCTTCTTGATCTTGTTCGCGTCTGGCTCCCCATCACCCGGAGCTTCGGCATCTATCTCGGCGTTGGGGTTCTCTTCCGCCTTCGCAGCCTCGACCGCTAATTCCTCTTTGTGCGCCTCGATCTCCTCGGTTGGGGCGATATCATCGAGAATGCCATTCGCACGCAGATCTTGAATTGTGCCCTGGGTGTCGATGCGGCCATCAAGCATGCGGACGAGGTAGTGTGCTCCGGGGAGGACGAGCTCGACGTGGTGTGTGACGAGGACCTGCACGAGACTGAGCACAACGTCAGAGTACGCGAGGAGATCTATCACTCACAACTGTGCGATGGGCCAGAAGAGGCCCACGGAGCAGCTTCTCGAACAAAAGGCGTGCAGTATGACTATCGACGGCGCTGAGCGGGTCGTCCAGGAGGACATACTTGGTCGGGGCGTAGACAGCGCGAGCAAGCGCGACACTGGCTCTTTGTCAGCACAAGATATCACACAGGGCATAAGAGAGCGTACCGAGCCTTCTGCCCACCGGACAAACTGACACCACTGCAGAGCACGACAATCAGCCTGCAGGCACGCAGAGGATACGATCAGGGCCACTCACCGTGCACCGATTTCTGTCGCGTCTCCGTCCTCGAAGATATCCAGATCCGGCTTCAGCGCACAGCACTCCACAACAGCGTGATACCTCTCTTCGTCATACGGGTACCCAAACAGGATATTATCCTTGATGCTCTGGTGGCGGAGCCAGGGCGACTGCGCCGCGTACGAGATTGTGTGCGACAGCCCGTGCTCGTCGACCTTGGACGGATTCTTCGACATCACGATCCTCCCCTCGAGTGTCGTCAGCTCGCCCAGCAGCGCTAACAGCAGCGCCGTCTTCCCGCTCGCCGTCGGGCCCGTGACCAGCGTGAGCTGCCCCTCGGGGAACAGCACGTTGATGTCGCGCAGCTCGAACCGGTGGTCGCCCGACGCCGCCAGCGCGGACACAACCGACCCGTCGTCGACGGCCGTCGCAGCCTCGTCCGCGTCGGAGCTGCTCGCGTGGGCGTCCGTGCCATTAGTTTTGCTCTTGGCGGTGTCTTTGCCCTTGCCCTTGTCGTCCTTCCGCTCTTCGACCTCGTTCCATTTGAACGAGCCGCCGATGATCCCGAGGCCTGTCTCGGCGTCCTCGGAGGGGGGGACACGGCCCTTCTTGATGGTGGACACTTGCGCGTCCACTTCGTCCTCGTCGAGGTAGGTCGCGATACGATCGAGGGCGACTTTCGACTAGTCAATAATGAATATCAGCGCGAAGAGATGAGTAACGACCTGGGGCGTTCGCATACCTGGAGGATCTGGACAATCCACGCTGGGATGACGTTAAGAGGCGCGCGGACCATCTGGAACAATGCGATGGCCTGCAGAAATCGTCAACACTGCCATGCATCGGTATCCGTCAGCACTCACGGTGAACGCAGTACCGATGGTCAGTTCGTTGCCCTGAGCAACGTACACAAAGAACGACGTGACCGAGACCAGGATAGGCGCAGTCGTCCACAGCAGCGAGAAGCACACCGCGTTCACACGGGCTGTCCATGGGCTATCAACAACCCGTCCAGCTACGATGAGATCCCAGAGGAAAGCGCGTACACTTGATCATCCACTGCATCTCGCCCTCACGGGCTTCCATGACTCGCTTGATCCACTGGTCCTCCCAGGCGAAGAACTTGATGAACTTGACCGCGCTGATGAGCTCGTTGAGCACACCCATGCGCTTGTCACGGGCAGTCGAGACGCCCTTCTGGATCCGGACAGCACGTCGAGCCATGAAGTTATTGAGGGGCCATGTGAGGAGCAGGACCAAGAACCCGGCAAACGCGGACCACCCCAGCAGTCTGCACAGATGGAAATGAGCGTTCACCGCGACGCGTGACGGAGACTGCTTACTGATAGAGGAAGAGAGTGGCAATGAAGATCTCGAACGGAGCTAGAGGGGACGTCAACTACCGTTTCCCGATTCAATATGCCATTACTCCTTACCACCATAGATGAAGTACATCGCTGAAACTGTCATAGCGATCCGGTTGGCGTCGCCCGCCATCAGGTTGACGATCTTCCCTATGTCTGCGCCCGCCTTCGGTTCGTCGCTCTTCGCTTCGTCCTTGCCCTTGCCGGCCTTCCCCTTCTTCTGTTCTGCCACCTTGTCCTTATCCACAATCCCCGAAAAGTCCTTCCTCTTCAGCGCCTTGTCGTATATCGCCGTCATTAGCTCCGTCCTGATCCGCGTGCACGCCCTCCGCCCGTACCACAGGTGCTGCATGTCCGCCTGCGCCTTGCACAGCGCGCTCACGAACGCGAGAAACGCGTACAAATACGCGAGTGCGCGCTTCTCCGCGTCCGGGGGGCCGGAGAGCGCGTCGAGGATGCGCTTGAGGAAGAACGGGCTCGCGTAGTTAAACACGATGCTCACGTACGTGAGCACAAAGTCGAGCACGAGGTCGAGCGTGTTCGCGCGCCAGAGACGCGAGAAGAGTTTGCCCGTCGTGCGCGAGAACTTGATGTGCAGGGGCTTCGCCTGCATCGACGGGCTGAGCGCCCAGACGTCGGACTCGTTCAGGGTGGTGTACGTGCCCTTCTCGAGCAGGGGCACCACCCAGCGGAAGGAGGCCCAGCCCCAGACGGTGGTGTAGTCCTCGGGGGAGATCTTCTTGCCCTGCAAATGGCGAGAACGGCGTCAGTAATGGCACTTCGGCGATGGCGCAGCTGGGGCGCAAAGTGCTGCAGAAGCGCGTTCCGCTCGTCCCTACTGCTCCCGTTGTTGGGCCGCTTGTATTGGGGGCGCAGCATCCGCACGTCGCGACGAGCGCGCACACTCGTCTGCGACCCAGCTGAGTAAGAGAGACGAGAGTACGCACAATGTCCTCCTTCTTGATACGCTTGCTGGGAATGGCCAGGGGCATGTTGAAGACCAGAACCAAGAGGCCTGCAACAGCAAGCAAGTTGACGGTGTAGACTGCGGTACGGATAGGGGTTGGAAGGGGAACATCATAGACATAGCGATCGTAGAGGTGTCCAAAGAACACGACGCTGTTCAGGACGAGGTGCAGAGAGAAGAGCGACAGGAGGTCGAACGGAGCGGTGGCAGCCGGCCGGAGGATGGGACGCAGAGTCGCGTAGAGCCATGTTGCCGCGACGAGGAAATCTCGGACGCCGTTCCATGTGTCGTCAGGGTTAACAATGAGAGCGTAGCAGCCGATACCGAGCCAAAGAAGAGTCTCGACGAGCGAGACAGAGGAGAGAACAAGCGTACGCCATAGCGGAACACCGAGCGCGATCTCTTCCTCCAGACTCTTTTCCTCCTCTCCGGCAATGAGTGCCTCGGCCTCGTAAAGCGGCAAGAATTCCGTGAACGGCTTCTTGGCGAGACGAAGCAGGGTGCTGACAGGCGGGACTGAGGAAACGAGGACGACAGCAACGAAGGCGGTCGGAATGACGGCGGCCCAAAAGCCGCGCGCACACGCGTCGGATAGGTCGAACAAGTCGGCCCCTTTGCACACGGCCATGGTGGTCGTGGTGGACGAGATGCGCGGCGTCGGCGAGGGCAGATGGTGGTGAGTACTTGTTGTGAGAGCTCGAGTCTCAAGCTCTCAAGACTTGTCACTTGTGGCACGCGCGCCGGCTGCCGAACGAGCCGTGATGGCGGAGACCGAGGTAATAGGCCTGTGTCCACGATGTTTCCTGGAGTTTGGAGACTTGCTTGAGACCTTCTATCGCCCGCTGCCGAGGGCACAGCTGCTGGACAAGTACAAGTACAAGTACTAGTAGCCTGAGGGCGCAGCGTAGGGCAAGCGTCTCCTCTTGTCGATTCATCTCATGGGTCCACAATCATATGAATCTCAGCCGACACTATCGCTCCAGAATTGTTGCGAGTGTAACGGGCTTGCTAAGTCGACATCAAACGTCGATTATCGTATTTCTCCCTTGCGAATATCTTGAGGGGCAGACGAAGCGCCACCAATTCACCACTAACCTACCGCGAAATGCGTCTCGTCGACTCAATCGCTTCGGATCTGAGCTGGGTATCAAGCGGTTGAATATATGACGAGGGTATATACACGGTATCGAAGATCCAAGCTACGTGCTCTGCGATAGTAAGTAGTAAGTCCGATAATCCAACAGCGTAAGCAGAATCGAAAGCAAGTCGAAGCAGAAAAGCAGAACGCATATCCCCGCACCCACATGTCGTGATCGTCAAAGCGTCACCGGTCCTTATCAGCACTGACGAGCTCGGACACGAGGCGGTTCAGCATCTCGTCCGCACGCGGGTTGCGAGGGAACGTCTTCCCGTCGCCCATACTGCGCGTCCCAAGGCCAGACAGCGACCAGAATCAGCAAAAGCCCATCTACGTCCTGCATGGAAGTCACGGGGAGACACGCACCAGCCACCGCCCAAAAGCAGCCGGTACACCCACCCCCACGGCCGGCTCCACCCGAACACCTGAGCCCAGTTCTTCCGGAGGCCGACGTCGTACAGGCGGATGTGCCTGTGCGCCTCCCGGACGAGGACGCGCTGCTCGAAGGAGAGCTCGTGCTCGAGCGGGGGGTTCGAGAGCTTGCGCGAGTCGGCGTTGTCGGGCAGTGGGGAGATGTGGCGGAGGAGGAGGAAGGGGGAGAGGGACTCGAGCGTCGTTTGGTTCGTCCTGGGAGGCGGAGGGCGGATCGGCAGGGTGAGCGAGGACGGGAGAGGGTGGCGAGAAGGGGGGAGACGCACGAGATGAGGTATATGTGGTACATGCAGAAGGAGCCGATGACCATGCAGATCACGATCGCGTAGAAAGCCACGAACATGGCGTGCACTGGTGTCGTTTCATCCTACCATCATGAGAGACATACAGAATTGAGGAAAGCAGGGCCAGATGCGGGAGCAGTGGGACATACAATATTGAGGGGGTGAGTGAATGCCCACCAGGTGACGGACCCACACAGAGCAGCAACATACACTGCAAGGCTAGTAACGCAGATGAGAAGGTGAACAAATGATGCGTGTGTTCTGTGTCCCTATAGCACCGCCGTCGATGTCAGCGTGTCCCCGTCCTCCGTTGGAGAAGCATTCCTCCGCACAGCCAAATACTTACTATACATTTGTGGCCGAGCCACATACAATGATGATCTACCATACATCCAGGCACCTAATCGTAAGCCCGAATAGCCTGTTGACACAGCACGGCGGACACTCACCCATCTTGAGGACACAACGCCCGCACGTCCCACAGTGGTGTGCGCGCTCAGGTTTGGGCGCATTGCACTTCTTGCACCACTTGCCCGGTTCATGGACCTCCCCGTCTTCTGGCGGTGCGAGCAGGGCCTCCATGAAGCTCTCTGCCTCGCCCTCGTCCGCATTCTCGCCTTGGGACTTGTCAGTCACGGGTCCCGGGTCGCGTGCGAGTACGACGATGAGCGAGGAGAATGCCATGAACGTGAGCGTATAGAGGGCGAGTCCGTGTAAAAGCGGTCGCAACACGAGGCCATGGACGAGGTAGTAGTATTTGACGAAGACGATAATCAGGGAAGGGTGGGGGGCGAGGATCATTACGATGGCCACTGTCCGGAGATGATGTCAGGCTTGGTGTACGACTTGGAGCAACGGAAGGAGCCACGCACAGAATAAAGGAAGATAGTGGTACCACCGCTTGTGTTTCAGATGGTCACCGGCCGCAATGTCGTCGTCGTCGACAACACCGAGCCGAGGCGGGGCGGGGAGATGTAACGACAAGAGAGGTGCGCCGTTATTTCGAGACATTCCCAGAGTGTTTACAATCAAGACGCAGCGAAGCACTGGTAGTGAGTGAGGATCAAATGGGAGCGATGCAGAGTCCAGAGAGGAGAGGGGAAGGTGTAGGAGCAAGGTCAGGCGTAGACGGAGGCGTCGCGGTCGTCAGCGACGAGGACAGAGCAGAATCCGCGGCCGGCGATCGCATTCGCGAATCTGGGCCAAGCTCAAAGCTGTGCCGCTCAAGCTCGGCCTCGTGGCTTGTAACGCCGGTCCTCCGACAGACGCCCTCCCGCTGCCTTCTTCCAGTTATCGACCGCTGCCCTCCTAGGCTTGTCAATCTTATTCCTGTTCCTTAACCATACAGAACCAAGACCATGGATATCGATATAATTGACGACGAAATGTCTCAGGCTTACACCCATAGGGCAATTGGGAAGCGTCCTAGGGTTCCCGTGGATGACGCACACCCGTTTGAGCTCGAGACCTACATCAGCAGTTACTCAGGTTCGTTGACCCTCTTCTCCCATTCGCGATGCCTATTCATTGCGGCCATGCCATTCTCTATGCACCGAGTAGGACGGACTTATGTCGATCGCCTCATCCACATCATGTCTATATGCCCGACCCTCGCGCCACAGGCCTTCCAACTTGCCATCCGTGAAGCGCAGAAGGGTCGCGACACTACCTTGTACCGCAGCATCTTTCAAGCCTACGATAGGGCACATGCAGATGCTCCTGATGAGATCCCTGAGGGCTCTTCGATTGCGACAGTGGACCATAAGTGGCTAGAGGAGACGAATGCGAAGAACCAGGCAGAGAGGACAAAGCTGGAGGTGGAACTCAAAACCTATACGAGCAACATGATCAAGGAGAGCATCAGGGTACGTCTCTATACTTTTACAACACACATATCACCCATCGAGGTCGTAAAGTAGATGGCGCACCGCGATCTCGGCGTATTCTACCGTTCAGTCGGCGAGCAGGCCGCGTCGCTCAAGCACTACACCAAGTCCCGTGAGTTCTGCACGACCTCCCAGCACGTGCTCGACATGTGTCTCTCCGTGCTCGAGCTCCTCATGGAGCAGCGCAGCTACTCGCACATCGGCACGTACGTCTTCAAGGCCGAGGCCGCGCTCGACTCCGCCACCTCCGTCCGCCAGGCTGCCCATCAGGCCCCCGAGGCCCCCGCCGGCTCCGCGCAGGCCACGCGCGAGCGGCGCTCCGCCGAGCGTGAGCGCGTTCAGAGCAAGCTCGACGTCGCAACCGCGATTTCGCACCTCGGGCAGAGCAACTACGAGAAGGCCGCGCAGGCGTTCTTGAAGGTCGGCCCGCTGAAAGGGCTTGAGGAGTGGAGTGGGAAGCTGATCGCGCCTGGGGACATCGCGATCTACGCGACGCTGTGCGCGCTCGCGACGTTCTCGAGGCCGCAGATCAAGTCGCAGGTGCTGGACAACGATAATTTTGGGGTTTATATCGAGCAGGAGCCGTACGTGCGCGAGCTGCTCGAGGCATATATCAACAACCGGTTCAAGACGGTGCTCGAGAGCCTCGACCGGTACTCGGTAAGCTTCGTACTCTCTCAAAAGTACCCTACCAAAATCACTCACTTGAGCGCTCCCGTAGACCCGCCACTACATCGACGTGCACCTCGCGCCGCACGTCCTCAACCTGACGAACCTCATCCGGAGCAAGGCGCTCGTGCAGTACTTCCAGCCGTTCGCGTCGATCAAGCTCGAGCGCATGAGCCAGGCGTTCGGCTGGTCCGTCGACGAGCTCGAACAGCAGGTCGTGCAGCTCATCCAGGCCGGGGAGATCAAGGCGCGCGTCGACCGCCAGAACAAGATCCTCAAGGCGAAGGAGACCGACCAGCGCGCGGCGCTCTTCGCGAAGGCGATCAAGAACGGGCAGGCGATGCAGGCCGCGAACAGGAAGCTGTTGCTCCGGATGCGGCTGTGAGTCACCTCTTCTGCGCTGATGCTTGCCGAGTCTTCTGGTTCAATCGCAACTAACTTCGTCTGGTTTCGTGCCGCAGGCAACAAGCGGATCTGGTCGTGAAGCCGCCGAAAGGCCAGGGGATGGGAGGCGGGATGATGGATATCGCGGCGATGACTGGGATGACTGGGATGCATCATCCCAGCTCATATATGTCTGGGGACTACTATTGAGACGATTGGGTAGGGGACGACACGCGATGACGAGCGCGAGATGCTTCTTCGTGCGTAGCGATCGTGTGCTCATTGACATATGCCGCAACTGACTCGGCGTTGGCGACATTGACCATTGAACTCCAATGTGTAGAATGACTATCTTTCAACGATTAGTGTACCATTTCACACAATGTCAATGCAAGCGCAGATTCCTTCGATGGGATTTATGTCCATGCCCATGATAAAGTCCAGGCCATATTCAAACTACTACTACTGGGCTAGCATGAGTCGCGAAGCCTGCGTCCAAGGCCAAGTGTCGAAACATGTTCAATTAGAGACAAAGTGCAAGTGCTTCAATTGTCCAATCCGATACAAGCATAAGTCATGGCTACGCCGGGGCGCACACTACAAATCACAAGTTAAAGACCGAACATCCTCGGAGTGTCGTCTGGTTGCAAGCAATGCACCACTCCTTCGTGGTGTTGATCGCGTTGGGCTACAACAAGTGCGTGGTCAGCTACAAAAGGAATAGAAAGAGCAATACGGCGGGCACATACCGCGAGCGTGGAGATAAAATGCGAGAGGGGTACAGAAGCCTGACCGAAGATCGGCACGTCGTGGAAGGTAGGGTCAGTAGTGCCGTTCTTGAAGCGGACATTCACCAACGGCTCGGGGAGGGCGTCGTGCAGCTCGATTGCAGCTACTGAGGCGTAGTCCACTGGAGAGGTCGCGTAAATTCAGCACGAGCGTAGGCCACAGAGGTATTCGGTATAAGGCATACCGATTCCGCCGAGCAGGGGCTGACTGGCCGTAGCATTGGTGACGTTGAAAAAGCTGATGAATGGCTTGTAGCTGATCTCGTTCAACGCTATCTTGAGCGGGTTGCTAGCATTGGCGAAGCTCTGAAGGGAGGTGAAGATGGAGGGAAGAATGGTGTTGATCGCAACTGCACAACAACGCCCCTTAGCACGTTGAAGAAAACGGACGACTCGGATGGCTTGTTTGTTCATAATGAAGAGGTGCTACGCACTGTTCCCAATGCCACCGGGGGACGCGTCGGTGAAAACGCCGTTCTCGTGGAAGTTGGCAAACCCGTACGCCTGCGCGGCGAATGTGGGCGGTAATTCCTGGAGGAAAGTGGCGTTGTGGACCGATTGTACGTTCACGAAGTCGAAGATCTACAGAGAGTGTTGCTGTGTAAACGATGTGCCTTGAAAGTAGAGACAGAACGTACGTTGAACTAAACTGAATGGTTAGGAAACATCCTAGACTGGCATTTGAAAGGCAGGGGGCAGCGCACCATGTTAATGAAATCAGTGGAGCGATTGCCCAGAAATGGCTGGAGCTGCTGCAGGAATGGGGCAGCAATAGCTGCTTCTGCCGCGAAGGGTTCAGAGGCGTAGAACTGGTTGATGTGATTGTCAAAATTCTGCCGGGGCCCAGTAATGGTCAGAACTAGATATTCCCGGATTTGGAGAGCAAGGAAGCTTACTGGGCACGACGTGAAACTGTTGAGGGAGATGTCCAGGTTGGGCTCTACGCTTTCCACTTTCGGACTTATCAGAAATGCTGCCGACTTCCCGAGACACGAACTACGACGTACCAGGGATGTATTGATAACCACCAAATGGACTCGTGACGGTAGTACCGTTCGCGAGGGTAATGTTGTTATCAGGAGTAGGCGGGAACAACCCTCCCAGCAACCCATAGACTGAGTTCAGAATAACGGATCCTCCTCCTCCGGCGTCAGCACGAACGTCGATTTGGTTGATGTTCACCACATCGGAGCTGATTCCGTCGATGAAAGTGGGCGAACTTGAATCCAGGTACTCAGAACGGAGGAACGAGCCTAGTTGCAGCTCTTGCACCTGGAGGAATCCTTGGTCAGGAAGGAATGGTCAAGTGAGAAGGCAGCGGTATAACGTACACTCCCAAGTGGGGTGAGAAAGGTTTGTGTCGGATTATAGGTGAGAGGATCCTGGAAGAACTCCAAACGATCGCCGTGCCGGGCGAGAAGGACCACTCCAAGTAACGTAGAATTGACCATGGCTGTTGATCGGTGCGGTGCAATGGTAGAGGGTTGCAACAGTTGAGCACGAAGTAGGGGAAGCCGGTGAAATATGTGAGTTCATGTCCCAACTGACCGCTACGCCCGCATCTTTATGCACTTCCGCCTCGCCGGAGCTTGTGTAATAAATGCCAAGGACCTTCAGCGGGTCCAAGACAGTACTAGCGCTTCGACCGCGGCTCTGACTGAGGTTGTTCGGTCCACCTTGCTTGATCCAGGAACGTTTAACACACGGTGAGCATAGCCGCCATCTTGTTGTTCTCCGACGACATACAGCGTGCGCCAAACTGCCACATAGTAACGCTCGGTGAAATGATCCCAGCTGAGTCATATGGCAGGCGGGCGAATGACGGGTCAGAAGATAATGAATGATCGTCAACCCTGTCGTCACTCTCGACATCGCGGGAATCAGTGCCAACGTCCGTAATCATATATGTCCACGCTGCGCTGTCCGTGAGGGTTTTAGTGAGATGCACGCTTCATGACCACATGGCAAAGAGAGGGAATGCTGTACCACCGGAGGCGTACGTCAGACCCGGAAATGTCGCTACCACCTTTCGAGAGACCTAGTGCCTCAGGAAGGCGTCTCAGGACACAACGCTGTTCATTCTCCCGGCTTAGCATATTTCATTGGTCGCCCGAAAGGGGTAGCCCCAGAATGGTTGCGGTAGCAGTTGCTGCAAGATTTATGACAGCCATTAGTATTCATCCCGGAGAGAATGCATTTGACCTACTACATTGTCGGTGAATAAAGAGTAGGACGAGACCAATTCAGCTTACCATGTTAGCGTCCCGGCGCGAGGGAGACGAAGGACCAGCGCATCCTAGCAGACTGTAGACTTGTTCAGAATGTCAGCTTTACATGTACCTGCTTCATGTCCGTCAAATACACTCAGCCATAATGAACATCACGAGGCCCTCTCAAACCTTCACGGTCCAAGCCGTCTCCACACGTGCAGCTATAGTTTTCCGCAACCCCCGATCCACACAGCCATGGTGGGCTTGCCGTCAGCCCCACCGCCCACAGCGTCCAGCCGATCGAGAACGTCCCAGCCCTCCTTGAGCTCGCCGAAGACGACGTACTTGCCGTTCATCTTTGCGAGCTTGGTCTCGTCGTCGGTCGATACGATGAAAAATTGAGACGAGTTCGTGTTTTTCCCTGAGTTGGCCATCGCAAGCGAGCCGCGGGCGATCTTCTTCTTGAGCCCTGCTTTGTCGTCGTTGAACTTTCCACCGTATATCGACTGCGACGGAACCAAATCAAAACGTAAGTGCCCTTATACCCCAACCCGAAGCCAAGTACGACTTTTCAACTGACCTCTCCGCCGCTACCGTCTCCGCGAGTAATATCGCCGCCTTGGACGACGAAACCCTTGACGATGCGATGGATCGGACAATCCAGGTAATGCAGCTTCTTGTTGGGAGCGTTCTTGCACATCCCCTTATCGCCCGTACAGAGTGCCACAAAGTTCCCGGTCGTCTTGGCTAGAGCAGGCGTGTCGTCTAGGTCAAAGATCATCCTGCCAGCAAGCAGGGGTGGTGGCGGTGCGAAACGCATGTCTAGCGAACTCTGTCGAGAAAACACAAAGGGATCAGCATGAAGGATCCATAGCAACGGCAGAGCAACACGAGCAGCAAAACATGGATTTCAGTTTGAAAAAGTGAATGGACAGAGGAAGTATGTACGTCGAGCTCCTTCAGGATGTCTTGTTGCTCGTCCGAGAGCTCGGATGGTACCGAAGGAAGACCATAGATGGCGGCGTTCTTGGCAAGGAGTGCCACAGTTGCATCATGCGCTACTGTAGCTCGTGCATGTTCTTCGCTGTTGCCAATGAACACGTCCAGGAAGACCGTAATCCCCATCATGCAGATATACGGAGTGAGCAATTTGAGTTGGTTGCCTACAGGGTCCTGCAAAACGATAGCGCATTCCCGGGCATGCGCATTTCCCAGCCTCGCTCCCCAATAAGGTAACCAAGCGCTTAGTCGCTGCGGGCCATGAGCATGAGTCGCGTGCGTCGCGTAAATAATGAGTAGAATAGCAGTACGCTTGAGTCCTGTAGAGTCCAGTGTCGCCTGCATCTCGAGGAGGCTAGGTAACACGCACAGTTCTCATAACTACTTGGCAAGTACCACGCACTTCTGGTCTAAGCTCCCATAGAGCATGCACGAGTTGATCATTATTCTATCCCAATGATGTGTACATGAGTAGGTGGTCAGGGACATTGCCATTTGCTGAAGGCCTACTCCCACCATCATGTCCACCATCTAGCATGAGGCCGAAGAAAGGCAGAGCGCAAAGATCAGAATTGCTGGAATGCAATTGATACAGCGGCAGAAAGAAGTGAGCACAAGCTTCAAGTGAACGCGTAGCGTTATGGCACATACCGCTAGCGAGAACTAACCCGTCCTGATTAGTACCCAACGTCGTCTTCGTAGTCACGGTCTTCGTAGTAATCTGAAGGGATGTAGTCTCTGATGTAGTCATCATCATCGTCTTCCATGGTGACGTAGCCATCCCATACGACCTCCGGGACGATCTCCCGCAGTCTGTCTACATCCTCGTCGTCAATATTGAGGCAGTCCTTCAAATGCACCTCCTACACTGGGAGGTCGTAATTGCATCTGAGGATCAAGCAGTCGATGAGCTTGTGGAAGAATCTTGCCATGTACTGCACATGGCGTGCTAGGGGAGTATACCGGAAAGCCAGGACTTCGAGGTGTGGAAGCGCGACCGATGGAGTGCCGCCGTTCTCTGCGGGGTGTGCAGCAGAGAGAGCGTCAAGCATAGAGTTTTCAACGCCGTGGAGGACGCCAAGAACGCGTAGATTAGGCATATTAGAGATAATATCTCGCCATGCCCACCTTTGACCAGAATTCGCCTCCACCTGCAGGAACCGGACGCTGCTCCATAAAGGCAACTCTGAGAAGAGTCTTCGGGTGCCCTGAGATGATACTGGCGAAGATAGATCAAGGTGTATAGGAGCCACACGATCGGAAATGTAGCTGTGCCACTTGTGGAAGTCGATGTCCCTGCGCCAAGCGGAGAGGATTAGCTTTGGACCTTCCATTTGCGCAAGGCATACCGTGCGAAGCGGTACGGTTTGGTTGAGCTGCGATCCGAGACTAGTGACAAGGTCTTGTACCACATCTTGACCGACACTGGTGATGATCTCCAGCTCAGTATCAATCGCCGGGTAGAGGTGACGAAGAAGATTCGCAGAGTCAACTGCGATCCCGTTGAGGTGAATGAAACCCAAGAGCGGAAGCGCGATGGTACGAGAGGGCGCAGGTAGAGACGCTGTGCGGCTGCCAACCGACAGGATCGCGTCTTCAAGTAGCAGGCACTCTAGGTATGTCATCTGTTCCAGCGCAGACAATAGCTGTTCAAAGCCGCCACCATGACTGCCTTCGGTGACGATCAAGCTGGTGAGTGTCTTGCTGAAGACGGGATGATCCCAATTGACGGAAAGTTGGCGAATCTCGAGGGTCCGAAGGCAAGGTACTTGGCCGGAAAAGAGGTCGTGCCGCAAATGTAGAGGGTTAAAGTAGGAGGAATGCCCCGCGTCCGAATCCGAGAGTTTCAGCGTGTGCAGGAGAGTGTCAGCTTTGCACATAGATCATAAATGTTCTGAACAGGTCCGCGGAAGCGAAGCTCTCGCAGGCGATACACCTCTGGTGGTAGTGACTCCTCGAGACATTTGCAGCTGTCATGGTACGAGAGAGACTCCATACAGATAGAGAGAGGGGCCCGCTTCGACCGCGCAAGGAGCGCTTCGACCGCGGCTCGTCTGGTGACCGAAATGAAGCTCCACGAGCGAGGGGTTGCAAGGGCAACCTCTCTCCAAGCAAAGCAGACATGAGTAGTCCTGATCCATTGGAGCCTGGTGCCATATACGCGGTCGTAGGTGTCATGCGCATCCTCAATGTGGCTATTGTGGTCTCGCACAAGGCACGTGAATATCTCTGACAAGAGCTCGTTCGGGAGACGGGAGATTGCGACCCTTGCATTATGACAGCGTTTTGGTGCTACGATTGCACTGAGGCATTGCTCGACCTCATCTTCAAGCTCCTTGGGCGCGCTATCAGTGTCCGACTGGATGACCCTGATCAGTTCGGATTCTAACGTCAGTGACAACTGCTGAGTGCTAGATTTTGGTGACTAGGTGGCTCACAGCGGGATGTTCCTGGTATGCGACGCAGACATTGGGGACAGGGATCAAATCGCTAGAGGCTAGCAGTCCATCGTCACCAAACATAGTAGACTGCAGTGATTTCTAATACTCACCACCTGTAGCTTTGAGGAGGATCGTAGGACGGCAGAGGGCACTGGTTGACGTTCAAAGCGGACTGTTAGCAAGCTCATATCTTTGCCATACATACAATCACCAACCTAGCGAGCGTAGTGGAGTGACAGGGGAGTACTGGGGTCTGGCACGTACTAGATGCGCTTGACCGAAGTTGTAGACTACGGTGGTCACAGTACGTGGTGGTTGGAATCAATGTATTGGCGCCAAAACATTCATAAAGCATGTCACGCGCCGCGGCATACGGGCATTTGGCACAGTGGTAGCGCGCACGCTTCGCATGCGTGAGGTCCAGGGTTCAATCCCCTGAATGTCCATAAGTCTCTCCACAGGTCTTTTTTACTCTACGAAGAGTTCTCTACAGCCCTTTTTAGGACACACGAGTTAACCTTGATGTCCTTAGAGAATTCTGCAGACAAAAGGCGTAAGGAAACTCCAAAGCTATACAGTACAAGAGGCGTTACACTGCTTGACAGCGCCGCCACGAGCGCCAGCACCGGGGAGATCGGACGTCAGCGAACGACAGTCGGATTGCGGCTGCACAGGCCCATACTTCATTCCTCCGCAGTCGCTCTCTGTATTCTTATACTCTATCCTCCTCCTACTGTGACTGTTCCTCTATATCCAACTGTGCTCTCTCCCATTCACTTGTCCTCGCTTCAGCCTTTGTTCTTCCCATCTCTGTCCAGTTCACGACCATCATGAGCACACGACCGCCGCCTCTACGAGGTATGTTTTCTCCGCAGTTTAGATAGATCCTTGCTGAGAGGAATTTCAATCTCACTGAACGCCACTCACAGCGTCCGACCGACCTCCCACATACCGGATGGTCACCCGAGTGTACAGCAACAGCCTACGACCCGTAGTCATCGTCAGTGAGTACCGCATACCGTACGGTCCTTTGCCTCGGCCAGCTCAATTGGCTCGAACAGTGGGGAGTATTCTGGCAATATGGTCTCTCGTTTGGTGAGTCCACCCTTATCCCTGTTTGTCGCGTCCGACGGCGTGTTCACCATGCGGCATTACCCCGTTCCGCAGGGCTGTAAGTAGTACTCCATCCTTCACTGCTTACCGCTCCTGGTATCGCGGTGGCGTCCACATTCGCACATCGCTATACGGACTGCGTCCTAAATCTATCGCAGATCCCAGCATTCCAAGACATTAGTGAGGACAAAGACCGTACGTCCGTTTATCCTCGTCTTGCATAGCCATCACAAAATCCGACACCCGTACTGCCCTCGCAGATGGGCAACCCAAGCTCGCAGTATTCGACATCGTATTGGGCGTAATATACGCTACGTCCTGCGCAATCGAAGTGTTCGGTATTATTGCTGCGGCAGCAGTACGTCATTCCTCCCGCACCTTACCGAGCATCGCGGCATTTCTGACACTTTGATCCCAATCAAATTCGCATGTGCGCATGGCTCCCGCTCGTCCTGGCAAACGAAACAGCAACGTCTGGCGTTGGTGCGTCTGTACGCAATGCTCTCCATATTCACCGCGGTCGCAATCGTCGGCTCCGGGTTCATCCGTGTCGTGATCCATTTCGTGTACAAGGTGAGTGAGACCGAGACCAGATCTGTGCGTGCGCGGAATGGAGATGCTCAATCTGAGACAGGACGGTCTTATTAGTGAATGCATATCAGTCGTACAGGGGGATGGCGTTGAATTCGTACGCGATGTCAATGGCTCAAGATAATTCCATGTGCTAAATCCCCCCTAGAGGTTTGGCATCTGGGGACCGCGTGTCCACGATAAGCTCAACCAGGCCGATGCTACTACATGTACGTCCGCGCACTTACTCAACTACTCGAACAACTGTGCTCAATGCCACTTCACGCAGTTTGCAACAACGCGTGGAACCGCGACTCCCTCGACGAGATCCTCTCCCTCATCTTCGAGATCAGTGCGTGTCTCCTCCTGCTCCTTACCGGTCTCTTCCCAAACCATCCGCATGCTCACCGTCGTGTTCTGTCCATAGTCTTCTCGATATTCTTCATCGTGATCGCCTGGGCGTACTACCACCAAGTCCTCGACCCCACCTCCGCCGCCAACGTCTCCCGCGCCCCCGCCAACTTCGCCGCTGGGGGGCCCGGCCCGTACCCGTACCCCGACCACTACAACCGCCCGTACGACACCGAGGCGGGCGCATACAACCCACCCTCGTACGCCCCGTACCAGCCGCAACCCCAGTACGCCCCGCCGCCCGGGCCACCGCCTACGCATGCGGAGATGGGCTATGGAGTCGGGACGGGCGCGAAGGATGGGGACCTGAAGGGGGACAACGAGAGCGAGATGACGAAGTTTGACGATCCGTTCGCGGATTTCGACGGGCCGAGCAAGCCTAAGAGCCTTGCTGCGGATTGATTGGATTCGACTGAATGTCGATGCGAGGACAGGGGGAACGGGAGGGCAGAATGTGGTTGAGGGAGTGGGACAAGAGGTAACGTAGTCATGTGTTATCTTCACCCTCTTCTGCTACTTCCTGCCTGCCCTGCGACGCGCGTTGACATTCTTGCGCGCAATAGGTGGCAGATGGAAGGCGGAAAGAAAGTGATGACCACTGCTCGTACACCGCATGCCTGTCTGAAGGCTGCTAAGGACTCCCATCCGGACTGTTGACTCTTGATTGACGAACCCCACGATTTTCTCACGGCTCTTGTATCGTATCACCCTCTATCATGTTCCTTGCTATTTGCTATCATACTGGTTCTCGCTGTCTGTGGCTGAACCACCGACTTAGTTTGTGTCCGGTGGTCGCTTGCTCTATCCATCACCAGTGTGGACACGAAGGTGCGTCCACTGACCAGATCGCTCCCCGTGCACGTTTCTCCTGGACATTGCACATGCTGGGGACATATATTGATTCATCTCGTCATCGTCATCGTCATCTCAGGTCCATCATTGACAAACGGGTTCGCGGCAGGACAAGGGCCCTCGGTGCGCGAGGCACGGGTACGTGACCGCCTTACCGCTTCTTCATACTTCCAATCTCGCTGCTGCTATCCCGCATGTAAGTCCGAATGAACACCGCACAACTAGCTGTGCGTACTGCCCTTCCAGCGACGCTCGCCGCGCTGCGCCCGTATGCACAGGTACGGAGATGAATGCTGTTTGACCCGTCGCAGCACGTACTCGATCGCGAAGCCCGAGACCTCGAGCTCAGGGGCACGTGGATCTGATCCTAACACCCTGGGAGATTGTCTTTGGAAGCTGCGGTTCGCTCTACGAAGGCGGGCTTCTCAATGCGATCACGGCAACCCCTCTCTCCGGTGAGAAGTATCGTGTTTATGCGCCTGACGACGTTGCGTAATACGTACTGCAAGCACTCGGTTCAGACTTGGTCCTGCGAGGCCACGGCTCTGACCTTCGAATCGCCTTGGCGGGATACGATTTGGCCTTGACGACGCGTTTGGGACGCACGCCGCTCACACACGATCAGCGTTCGCCCGAGACCCGCATCGGCCTCTCGCCTCTCGCTCGCAGCTTGCAATTGGAGGAGCCAAGAGGGAAATCCCTGGGCCATCCGTCCGTCCGTCCGATGCGACGCGCACCGGCCCCCCAGAATGGCACACGAACCGCCAGGGATTCGACGGCACGGGGCTGTCGGCGCTCCGCCGCGTCCTCAACCACGACAATTCTATGGGTTGTGCCGCACGCGTGGGCCCGCCTCCCTCCCTTCAATATATACGCTACATATGGTCAGAGGAGTCCAGGTACCGCGGGTGTGACCCACGCATGAGCCAAATTTGGCGGGCGTGCGATGCATTCGTCACTGCGCCAAGGTGTCCGTCCCCCGATTGTATCAATGTCCGACGCTGGCAGACCCTGGCCAAGGAGATACAATCCGCTCAACGAATTCGCAGCTGGCGCTGAGCTGGACCAGCATCCCACAAAAGACAAGGACTGGTCAACCAACTTGGCTGACAGCCATGGTGAGGTTAGTGATAGTCAGGTTAGGCAGACTCATTTAAATCTTGCGGACTGGCTAACGGACAATACGACCGGAGGAACGCGATGGGGATGCGCAGGCACCAGAAGCACGATGTCCCCGGCGATTGAACACAAAGAACAGAAGACTCGAACATGGTCCCGAGAGGGGTGAGACACTTGCAGACCGTGTGACGCACTCCTCAGAATCGGAGTCTTGCGTCTGTATGCGAAGGGTCGTATGGCGCGAGCCGTCATACGCCAAGACGTGCGGGATAGCCAATATGGTATTGCGCAAGAAGAGCGAAAGAAACATGCTACACAAGACGGCTTCAAAGCCCAAGCAAGGATACATATGTATAAAAGCAAGCAAGCACGAAAGGAAAGCGAACGACCGGGTCATTCATAAAAACGCTATGAGGTGTGTGTGTAGGCGGATCTGAGCTTAGCCCGAGCACAGACTAGGGGAAGTGTTCATCAAGCGTCGAGCAGCCCAGGCAAAGGGGCGTATGCGCTGGCCCCGACGCTCGGCACCGGGCGCGCATATTTACGTCTAAAACGACAGGGCCGTGGGGCGCATCTAGAAGACGAGGGCAGCAGCGCCCACCGCGGCGAGCGCGAGGAGTGCGTTCGCGCCATGCGAGGCCGCGCCGTTGCTGCCGCTGCTAGCGGCGGACGTCGTGGCGGACGCGGGGGCAGTTTGAGTCGCAGAGCCGGCAGCGGTGCTAGTGGTGGAGCCGGATGCGGGCGCGGTCGCAGATGCAGAGGCGGACGCGGAGGAGGCCGCGGGTGTTGAGGTGAGGGTGACGCCCTGGAGGAAAGAAAAGGTTATTAGTCAACTGAATTCATAGCCGTAGGCGAAACGCCGATACATATGACAGGGGATGGGAATCTCCAAGGCCGGGATGATGGAGACAGGGAAGCGAGTAGCAACCCAGAGGGAACGAAAGGCGTCAAGAGAGACAATAGGAGAAAGAGACGTACGACGGCGAGGCAGAGCTGTTGCGCAGCGGACTCGGCGTTGGTGAGGTCCGAGCCCTGGCAGGCGCCCTCGATGCAGCTCGTCACGGAGTTGACGAACGAGGAGGACTTGCAGAGGCAGGAGTCGTCGAGGGGGTCACAGCTGCCGAAGTCCGCGTTGGCAAGGCAGGACTGCGAGCAATCTGGGATGGGCGAGGGATGGTGAGTACGGAGTGATCAAGGTAGGAATTGTGCGAACTCACCAGGGAAGGACTGCCTGCGGTGGAGGGACGCAGCGGAGGCGGCGGCAGCGAGAGCGAGGACAGCGAAGAAACGCATTGTGGATGTAGTATGCGAGTATACGAGTGGGATGAGAGGGTGAGGGCGTGGTGTCGCGAGCACAAAGGCTGCTTGAGCAGGTGACAGTGACGGGAGGGGAGGGCGAGTGCGAAGGCAACGAATGCTAACTCGAAAGGAGAGTTGCTATGGCCGACGGAGGGTCTCGAAGGTGGCTTTATACGAACGGTGAATAAAGGGCAGGGGAGGGACGCGACGCCCAATTGAAGCCATCGCATCAGTGGGGACGTTCTTTGTGGGACGGACAATCAACAAACAAACGTCCGGAAACGTATGGGATACATCCGCTCGGGAATCAACAGGCGTTGCGGACGCACGCCGGTCAGCTTCTCTTACCCTATGGTTCCTGATCTCTGAGTGCCGAGCTCACGCGTGAATCCTTATTGACAGCAGCTATAGTGTCAGACTCGGGAGCATACCGCTCGGGTATAACGGACTTGCATGACGAGCATCCACTCGGGCTTACTTGCCAATACATTGTTTGTCATACTACTCGTCGCCGGTTCCGACGAACAATCAGAGCCTTTGCGAGCACAAAGGCGGGCGAGGTCGAGAGCAGCTGGGGGGAGAGCTTGAAGGGGAGTCCCATTGTGGGAGGAGCCAAAGAGAACGCCTGGGCGGCCAAACAACGCCTGCCTTCTTCGACAGCCGCCTTCCAGAATCAGTTACTTGCCAGGCACATCAATCTGCGCTTCCCACAGGCACCCACATCGGCATTCCCGTGGGAAGTATGTATCGCTGATTGCCGAAGAACTGGTCAGTACCGGCCAAGCCACTGAACCTTATTGTGTCTCCCCACCGCAGACAAACAGCACCAAAGTAGCCGAGGCGTCGCTCGCAAGCGTGCACATCTCCACCTTCAAGCTCACCGACTCCGACATCCTCAACACATGGTACGTCGTTCTTGTTGTTGCCGTTAGGCCCGGTGCTGACGTACTTCGCCAGGCCCCTGCCGCGACGAAGACCAACAAAAAGGTACGCTTCACCGTCGTTGTCTGGCCAAAAACCTATTCTCATCATGAACGCATCTCATCTCGTCCTCCCGCGCCTGCATTACTTATTCGCTCATGATCATGAATGCGCCCCATCTCCAATAACAGGGCGGAAAGACGCGCTCCGCCCTCCAGGATGTCGTGACCCGCGAATACACCATCCACCTCCACAAGCGCGTCCACGGCCGCTCCTTCAAGAAGCGCGCTCCCTGGGCCGTCAAGTCCGTCGTCGAGTTTGCCCAGAAGCAGATGGGTACCTCTGATGTCCGCCTCGATCCCAAGCTCAACCAGGCTCTCTGGGCTCAGGGCATCAAGTCCGTGCCCCACCGGATACGCGTGAAGCTCGAGCGTGCGTAATTTTCATCCCGTTGCCCGTGACCGTCTTCTGTGGGGTTCCACAGAATCCCTCCCTCGCTTCTCTCTTCTCCATTCTGCGCCGGTCAAGCTGGCATCGGAGGAGAGGGAAGAGGGGCGTGAGGCGTCCGACGTAGTTCGGAGATGCTAACTAGGTCTGCGGCCCTTCTATAGGCAAGCGTAACGATGAGGAGAACGCGAAGGAGAAGCTCTACACCTACGCCAGCCACGTCCCTGTAGAGTCCTTCAAGGTATGATTACTCTCTCCCTGTGCGGGAAGTCCCCAAATGACGTTTGTCACGATGCAGGGCCTCGAGACTGTCGTCGTTGACGCGGAGTAAAGCACTATCTGCTGTCTTCCGTCGCTTGTCATGTCACCTTTCGCTCGAGTCTGATGGCGCTCGAGTAGGATGGGAGGGAGGTCCGTCCGCTGTATTATGCCCTGCCATGCACACGTACGCTCGGCCGCAGGCCGCCATTACTTACTGCCCATATGCTATGTGAAGCAACCCAAAACGTACTCCTTCCTTCGTGTGAATCTCACGCCTGTTGTGTGCACAGAACAACTCGCTTTTGGTGTCATGGGATCACGGATGAAGAAGCCTGGACTTGCCGTGAGCGTTTCTATTGTCCTTGAAATGGACAGAATCGCTGGGTAGTACAGGTGGCCAACGGTCTGACGCTAGTTACCGCACAATGGTTAACGTGAGGTATTGAACTAGGAGGGACATTCTCTCATTCCGCACATTGTTCACGTACGCATGGTCTTGAATAGTGCCGCGACGTTCAAGCAGTCACGTAAGCACTTTCCATACTGCCAACGACCAGAGCACTCTTTCGTCGCATCCTCGGTAATTGTGCCAACAAACATCCGCTATTTGCCCGTAAACAGGGCATCAGAGGAGAAAACGCGGAGGACGACAGGGGATGAACGTCAATTAGTCTGCTACTGCCCCGTCGTGGTTGTTGTATCCTAGGAAAACAATGAAATCGTGTCACGGATTGAGATTACGCGCAGATTGTCCATGAAAGCATGCTGCTCCGAAAAGCATCATCACCGGCCTTGACCGGCCCAGCAACAAGTGAGAACTAAAGGTCAGTCATTTGATAGTTCATAGAACCTGTTCCGATACAGCTAGGACATCCATTGCTCTAATATCGTGTTGGGAAGTTAAGGGACAGTCAAGCCATGGTTTGTCACGCGGAGTATATAGTGCTCACCTCGATTCAGTGGCAGCAGTACTTGCAGTGTTGTCGACATCGCCCAAATATTCCCAAAACGTACAGACTTCATCTATCTCCTCGACACCATGTAGTAGAAGCACATTTTCAAGCTGCTAAGTTTGCATCCATCCTACATCAGCAAATTGTGCAAACAATGGTATTGCATGGCCACGGCGCCCGAAACTGGCCTACCCTTTCCGGAAACCACAAGCGCCTACTAATGCTGGCCAACTCCCATATCGTCCGACAGACTCCGGCCATTAAGCATCTGCGCGCATGGATCCCGACAATGGTAGGTAGGTATTCATCTTGTCCTTTTAGTTCATACCACTCAATCGTCATCAGAGAAAGTGCGTATACGTCGAGACTATGCAAAGCGCTCCGCTGCATCACAGCCGCCTCCTCGGCACTCCTTACTAACATCTCCCCAATCTCTCTCCCGAACGCGCTCCTCATCCTCCTCCATCCTCCTTTCCGCCTCGGCTCTCTCTGCCTCCTCGTCTGTGCATCCGCCGCCGCCGCCGCCATGAGTGGCGGCATGGGGCGGCAGGTCAGGTTGCAGCCTACTATTTGTAGAACACGGCGCCGAAGTGCCGATGCAGGCAAAGCGGGTGAGTGCGCGGCAACTCAGCAGCGTTGTATTCAGTCAGATGGTGTCGTTGCTGTGGACGATCGCGACAGCGTCCACAGCAAAACCGACCAGATGCCCCGTGCGCCGGAGCATGGGCATGCAGCCATTGTGAGCGTCTGCCCGGTGTGGTGACGATCCTCACCCTGCCTTCTTTCTACGTGTACTCCCTACTGATACTTTTCAATCTTGCTCATCGATGACGCGTATTTTAGGTTATAACTCAATCAACAGCCTGTCATTGTGCCAGCCCTGCCCTGAACCATCTCTTGCAAAACCCCCATCTCTCGACGCCGCGTCTGCATCCCCCCTTTATCACCCGCTACAACGTACCAGATCTGCAACATGCCCCTTGGGATCTGATGTTTGTGAGTCATGCCAGGACGGCTGTAGCTACTAATGTCTAGCTCCACCCGCCTGCCTTCGACTCCTCATAAACATCCCATAGGTATGTATAATGTGCACACACTAGTTGTGTCTCGCTCTTGCCCTTTCCGTAAGCCTTGTTGCTTGACTTACCTGTTGTATGATTGCATAGACATTGTTGCGTACTTGTGACTTTGGCCTCGGGAGCATCCTTGCTCCTGCTCACCCAGCGACTAGCCCTGCTAACCCTAACCCGCTTTTTTCGCGCACAGTAGGTGTGTAGACTGGCTACATTCATGTCTGCCTTCTTCCATGTATAGCAGTTCGTGTCCAATCATCATTATCATCGAAAACCAAACTCGAATTGTGTGATCATTTGTCGGCTACTTCTTGAACGTGACAAGTGACCATTTCGCAGCGTGGGCATGTATGGTAGAATTTGCACAAGCCACTGACCATGTATGTTCATGAGCCCAGTCAATAATGTACATCATCGGCCTTAGTTCCCCTACAGTATGGTAGCTGCTGTCCGAATGCTCAGCGAGAAATGGCTATCAATGTCCAGGCGCTCTGCAAGGTCTGGCCATTGCATACCATATCTGGCGGATTTGCTACGGGTTCACCATCTACTTCTCATACCTTGCCCAATCTGGTCAGAATTGCGGAACCTGGTCATCACCGACCATCCATTTCGCTTTTTTGCTGATGTATCTAAGATTGGCCCAGAGCACAATGTGGGGCATCACGTGCCATTCCTGTCACGCTTTGGCGGGGCAAAGTGCGAAATCTGCATAGGCTCGACGAGGGGAGCCCAATTGACAAAATGGCGACCGTAACTTTGTTGCGGGGTGCCCTTGCTACAGAGTTACGGTTTTCGATTCTCTGTTTGCGGGGAGGGGACCGAGCCTATACAGAAATACGCATCAACCTCCCATGCCAAATCGTCGCTGAGCGCCGTCGGGGTTGTCACCCTTTGGCGGAGGGCACGTGCGATATCACGCTGTGACATAGCCCCACATTGTGCTCTGGGTCAATCTTATGTGTGGTATGTGATGCGATGAAGAATACACTATTGCAGTAGACTTGAAAGACAGCAAAAATATGGACGTTAAGGGGTTTGAACCCTTGACCTCACGCATGCAAAGCGTGCGCGCTACCACTGTGCCAAACGCCCTTGTTCGAGAGAGTCAACTCATTGCATTATAGACAGAGTAAGTCTCGCGTCCAAGAACTACTAAACCACAGCATCTAACCTACACGATGCGAAGAGAAGCTTTATGATACGAGTGGCATACGGAAACACAAGGTAGTCCGTCCTAATGCTCAAGCGCAGCAACGATGCCATACGCGGCAGCGGCAGCAGCACCGCCGACGAGCAACGTACTGAACGCGCCCCAAACGTAGCCGCTCGCACCCTGCCCCGCAGCGCCAGTAACGCGAGCCTTGACGGCCCCGAATATGAGCAGCACCACACCCGTCACAACGCACGACCAGATCAGCGCGATGTGCGCGACGGGCTGGAAGAAGTACGGCAGGAGCGGGATGAGGCCGCCGACGAGGTACCCCATGCCGATCGTGAACGCGGACGCGTACATCCGAGAAACGGGCACCTCCTCGATGCCCTCGCCGAACTTGAGCAGGAACGCCGTCAGGCCGACGTCCTTCGCCCACCGCAGCTGCTGCCCGCCCTCCTCCGCGACGACCGTCGCGTCGCTCCCCCCGCTCGTGCGGTGACTGTGGCTGCTGCTGCCGCTCTCCGGGCCGAACTCGATTTCGCGCAGCGCGGCCGCGACCTGCCTGGAAGTTTTCTCGTCGATGCCGACGGGCCCGAGGACGGCGTGAACTTCGCGCTCCATCTCGCCGTCGCAGGAGCGCCAGACCCGCGCGGCAGTGGCCTTTTGCTGGTAGCGGTAGTGGTCGCGCTCGGCCTGGGACGCGAGGAAGCCGCCGATGCCCATGGAGATTGCGCCCGCAATGAGCTCTGCGATGCCGCCGAGGATGACGAGCTTGGACTCGCCTAGCGAGGAGAGGCCCGCGGTGAGTGCGAAGGGGACTGTGAGGCCATCGGAGAGGCCGATTACACTGGGTGCACATGGTTAGTCCGGTGTCCTGATGCGGCGATACGAGAGCAGGACGCCACGCCACTAGAGACGCATATCATTCAAAGCTTGACAAGATATTAAGCCACCTTTGGACGGCTCGAGGACGCATCCGGCAGCGTAGATCATCCAACGTCTGCAGGGCGCCTGAAGACGCCGGGAACTCCTCAACATAGGACCGCTCTTCCTCCCGCAGCAACATGCAGATAGAGAAGGTGCACACAGCGAGGCCGCCGCGTATCGCCCGGCTCGCTGTACAGTCAAGCGTCCTTCACCCGCCATGTGCCGAAAGATGACGGACACATCGTCCGTAAAACTGAAGCATGCTTAGAAAGGCACTCACACATCGCGAACTACGTCAGGGTCAACGAGCGTACGCTCGTCGTCTCCTCTCAATTCTTTGCAGCACACTCCAGACCGCTGAGGTTCGTGTCTGTCGCACTTTGCGGGGAGGGGTGCAGGCTGTGGGCACGCAGAGTGGTTGATCGACCAGACTGGGGGCTTGTTGCTCGCCAGGGTATCGGAGCCCCTGCGATGGGGCAAACGGACGGATGGTGCGGAGGTGGAGCCGTCAGACATAGAAGTAGATACCGGCTAGACTGGGGTCGAGGATGAGGTCGCTCAGGGGACGAGATGGGGAAGCCGAGCGTACAGGACCAGGGCGAAGACGGTGAGGATATGAAAGACGGGAGCACGGAGCGCAGACGGGACATGCCAGCCTTTGGAGTGCCGGAGACGCTCTCAGAGCCTCACGTAATCTGCGTTTCTACTGGCTCCTGCCGGGTCATCGGGACCAATCTGGCGGGCGCCGGGCGGGTCATGTTCAAACGCCTCAACATACATTCCAACGCCGAGGGTAGTCAGGAGTGCGAAGGAACGCTCGAGGCCTGTTCTCGTTGTCTGTAGGCAATAGAGGAGGCGGTCGCATTGAGCTCGTGGCGCACTCGTCGAGATTGGACGCGGAAGTTACCGTTTTATCAGATAAGACGACTCACCCATCGCTCCATCGTTTCAGCGAAAGATACCAACGTTCATCGCCTGCATCCCGAACCCCCACACTCACGGTAAGGCATGCTTCGTGCGGGAGAAGTCGAGCGCCGGTAGCCCTATCAATAGGCAGATTTAGGCAAATCATCCGTGATTCACACACCGGGAATCCTCCTCGGTCGAATGCCGCCACAACTGATGCACATGGAGAGCAGGGTTCTGCACATGTGAGCTGTGTCCGCGAATGCCCCGGGACTCTTAAGAAAATGGCACGTTGGTCGACAGACGTGAGAGCCCCGCAAGAACTGCATGAGCTTGTGAATGGCCAGAAGCGAGGCATGTCGAAGAGAAACTCGGGCGTAAAAGAGCCACGAAGACCCCCGCGGCGCTGGATGTGAAAGCTCGGATATTCAGGTGTGGTCGAAGCAAGCCGGTGAACGTGTCAGCGAGGTCATAACGAGAGATGCTCAGCGCGACTTCGCCGGATTGCGAGTACAGTCGACACCCTCTTAACCCATAGCCCTCGGGACAGGCCCAAATATATGGGTTTTGAGGGGTTATGGGCTACCAGAACTTTAGTGCCTCATAAGCGCCCTGATAAGTCCCAGTTAGCGAGGGCTGAACAGGCGTCTACTGACCCTTTGAGGGAGCGCTATGGGATTTCGAACACACTAACCTACCCACAACATGGTCGAAGCGTGGATGGACACTGGGAGGACACTGGGAAGAATGTGTCAAGTATTTTGTGGGTTATTGATTAGCAAAATCTCAGTGTGACCACTATTACCGTATGGGTTTTGAGCCCTAGAAGGCTATGGGTTATGGGGTATTGGGGACCTATGGGTTATGGGGTCGAATTCCCCCTATCCCGACTTGGGAAAGCCAAAATCCTATGGGTTTTCGGAGTTTATGGGTTACCAGAGGTATGGGTTAGGAGGGTGTCGACTGTATAGCCAGAGCTAGCCTTCGGGCTTCCCCGAGAATGGGCGCTCATGCATGTCTCGCTTACAAGCCATGGCCCATGGCTCCGTCCCAACCTGAGACCGTCATCTGGCGGAGAAGTGAACCCCGACAGCAAATGAAAGATAACGATGTGTGCAGTGTACGTATATACATAGTGCGTTCTATGGTTCAGCAGTGTTCTCCATCCGCCCACACCCGCCCTCGTCCATGCCCAGGCACGCAAGGCCCCGAGACGGGCCCTCAGGACCCCACGACACGAAGACATCCACGACGCGAAGACCGCTCCACCATGCCCTAGAGTGGCAGCACCTACACGTAGAGCAAGCTGCGGTCGTGCCTGACCTTCACCGCGTCCGCCCGCGTCGACTTGTTCGACATCCTCTCCCAGATCGGATCCACGTCCGGCCCGTCCAGGTCCCCCGCCCCGTCCCAGCCCCAGCACCACACTGCGCGAAAGGGAAAGGGAACCCGCGTCAGCACACGTGCGTCCGGCCACGAAGCAGGCGGCCCAGCGCGCCGCAGAATACGGTCACAGCGCGCAGAGCTCAGGACTCAGAGAAAAAGAAAAGGCAGAGAACTCACCGTACTCGGGCCCGGGCTTGAAGTCGATCGGCACGCTCTCCTCCTGGGTGAAAAGGCGGTCGTGCGGCCCGAACCACGCGCGGTCCTGCGGGTCCGTCCGCGGGTTGTCGGGCAGGCCCCCGAGGCGGACGTACCCGCGGATCGCGGTCAGGTTCCGGCGGTCGGGGTGAATGATCTCCCACACGCGCTGCGAGCGTCGACCGAGCACGTCAATATCAATGTCAATATCGCACCCTGGCAATCCAGACAGAACAACAAGGTGAGGCAGAGAGGAGACGTACGCGGTCATACGCGAGCTTCACCCGCGGCACCATCAATATCCGCCCGTACCCCGCCTCCCAGTAGTCGTTGCAGATGAGCGAGCATTCGGACGCGGAGCACTCGCCCTCGGCGATGCGCGCCATCCGGAAGCGGACGTGCGGCGGGGTGTAGAAGGGCGCCGAGTCGAGCACGGCGATGCCGTTCCAGCATGACTGCACCTGGAGCGGGAGGTGCTGCATGAAACGTTCTTGTGAGGGCCCGTGCAGGAAGATGGACTCGAAGGGCTCGTTTTCGAGCGCGGTGCCGTTGATATCGCGCGCGACCCAGTTGTCGTAGAAGACTGGAGAGCCCTGAGCGCAGTGTCAGTAAGTGCGAATTCGTGTTCGGGATTCACTTAGGTCAAGCCACGTACGAGCTCTGCATGATACATGTAGTCCGCGGCGCACGTGATGCCAGCGTTGTTCAACCGGCTCTGCCAGATCAACTCCAGGAGGTCGTCCACACAAGGGAGGATATCATTCATGAAGATGATCGTGTCAAAGTATTCGTTCTGCGTATCGCGTAGCTCGTGCAGCGGCACGAACGCAGCGTTGCGCACCTCGGCAAGGTACTCGATGCGATGGTTGAACGCACCTCGCGTGCGCTGGGACGTCCGGATAGTGACACGCATGCCAACGCTCCGGCAGAGCGCGTCGAAAATGCGCAAGAGCGCTTTCGTCTGGTCAGTCGAGCCATTTTCGTAGATTGAGACGTAGACGTTGTGGTAGCCGAGGATGGCGGCGACGCGGAAGAGGGTGGCGAAGAGGTCGGGGATGACGTCGAACGAGTTGTAGAGGTTGATGGCGAAGAAGTACTTGTGCGCGTCGGGGCCGAACTGGTGGGCCGACGACGGCGTATAACCTAGGTCTGCGTTGCTTCCGAGACCGAGGGCATCGAGCCACGAGGAAGAGGATGGGGATTGGTGGCCGATGAGGGCTGCATAGCGTTCCATCGCTTGCTCCTTGTACATAGGCTGGGCATTTCTTGTGCACTCTTTTGTGTAATGGGGAGAGAGGTGGGTGAGAAGGTCAAGCACACGTCGGCGTTGGGGTAATGTGGGGAGGGTGATGGGTTGTCGTGTTGGTGAGCGTGACGAGGGTATCACCGGAGCATAACCGCCTCTCCATGTTGTTGACGACCTTTCCTAAAGGAAGATTTGAGCATTCGTTCAATGGTTTCAAGAGCGGAGAGAGAAAGTGATGTCTGAGAGCGAACGGAAAGAGCGCAATTCTGCTGGGTCCGGAGATACAGCAAACAACCATGGTGAGCCAGCGAAAGCCAGCCCTCACACGGAGGAAGGATCTTGTATATGGGACGATGGTAGGTGGACGCTCAAAAGCACTCACTCCAGTCAGAACTTTGGAGATGAAGAGCCCGACGATGATACCGACGGAGAGCGCGACCCATGTCGGGATCCGTTGTAGGTGGTGTTTGCTCTTGGGCTGCATAGCGACCGGTAACTGGATTCTGAGGTCAGGACGATAACGCATATCAGTTGCACGTTGGAAGGGCGGCGAAAGAACGCAAGGACGTACCAATGCTTGGAGCTGCCAGTGCCGAGGCTTCCCTTCCCGTGAAGAGTCTTCCGACGCGTTACCTCCGAAGAGTTAGACGCGTCCGATGCTGCGTCCGTCCAAGTTGCGTGTGGGATTGACCACAGAGAGCAGGCCGGGTATTATGGTGATGTAGCCTAGGGTATCGTCAAGCCTCAGATCTCAGAGCGGAGAGGAGAATGGGGAGGGTGATGGGCTGGAGTCGAGAGCAGACAGTGGCAGGAGCGCTGTCGCTTTCCGTCAAGCGCCCATATTGGCCTGATTTGGTGCAGACGACGCTCAATCGGGATGTCCACATCCGACGGCCACCTCGACTCTCGGTCTCTCTCTCTCCTTCATCCGTCCACTCCTTTTACTCCTCCTCCCGACACTGGACCGACCGCCGACAACGACGCGCGTTATGCAGCGCCGTACAGTAGGCAAGGGTCTCGCTCACATCAACATCCCTCCCACCCCAGGCTTCATGGGCTCGTCCGACAGTGAGAAGCCCCCCTCACGCCTTCACCAGAAGAGCCTCGGGGTCACCAACCGCATATGGCTCATCCTCTTCGCCTTCATCGCTCTCATCGCCTTCACACGCTCTGTTCTTCCTCAGGAGACGACAAGCTCACGACACCGTATCCCCCATGCTGACCTCAAGCCCAAGAACTACCTCAGCTTCTCCGAAGACGACCCCAACCCATTCCCCTTCTGTCCTGCACTTGGTCCTCGCGATGAACTTGCGTCAAAATACGACCCCATTGTGCTCTCTACCACCAGATTTCATTTGGGGAGCGGTGCGCGCATTCAGCGTGTCATTAACAAGGCCCTCTCTGGCCTCCCGGTCACTATCAGCGTAGTAGGCGGTTCAGGTGAGCACTTCCCTCCATGCTGTCTATTTTCGCGACGTGTCATGGCGCGGTATCTTCTCGAACCTGCGTCTGTCATCTGTGCGCGCGTACTTCACATATCATCTCGTGGCCCACGTTCGCAGGTGTACCTGAAGCACATTGCGCATCGCGTCCGGAAGGCAATAGTGCGCCGAGAGTTACCCAATATGACCTCATCCTTACCGTATTTGTGCACGTACCTTGCGGTATGACTCGAAGAAGCGTTGTCCGGAACGTATCATGTCCTTTGATAACTATGCCTAACGTCGCAGCACCTCCGCACTGCGTCATACTACCGAAGCGTCTCCTGTGGTGACCAATGCAGATATACAATTATGCAGCGCCATAGTTCCCAGGGTAGTCTCCGCAATCTCAGTACTAACATGCTCTTACAGTATCAGCATGCCATGGAGCCGGGAATGACCCTCTCTCGCCAAGCTGTTGGCCCGCCCGATTCTTCAATTGGTGGAATGCCGTATTCCCCCATCCTGCTACTGAACTCACTAATGGTGCAATGCGCCGGACAAGTTCGTCATACTTCTCCTTCTGCAATGCTCACCATATTCCGGACCTTACGGATCTCGTGATCATTGAGTTGGACGTCGACGATGCCAAGTACGTGTGTTGCCGTCGTCTATACCGTAAATAAGGCTGACATGCCTGTGACAGCATGGACACATCCATTGAGCAATTCGAAGTGCTTATTCGCTCAATATTGCTCCGTCCAGACTCCCCTGCTGTGATTATCCTGGGCCACTTCAGTCCACAGGTCGCTATGTCGAAAGGCTTTGCGGGAGCGGACCATGGACACAGTCTTGTCGCGCAGTTCTATGACGTCCCACACATCAGGTCTGTAGTGATTCCCTGCTTTCCACTAGCACCTATCGCTTACGGCTACCTACAGTACCAAACCCATCCTCCACCCGAAGTACATGGCTGATCCCTCCTCCGTCGACCAATACTTCGCCGACCCCATCCTTGCAAACCCCGCAGGCCACGAGATCCTGGCCGACGTCCTCATCTCCTACCTGCAATCCCAAGTCTGCACCACCTGGGCCGCAATCACAGGTCACTCCGCCGAAGCACTCCCCTCACCCGCCGCCCCCGTCTACCCCGACGGCCAAGCGAAACAGCCCACGGACGCGCGCGGCCTCTTCGGCGGCGTCGCGGACCGCAAAGGTGCTGCCGGGGCCGCGCCCCCCGAGAAAGGCCAAGTCGACCGCGCCGCATTTGCCGCGCTCCCCGTACAGAACAACGCCGACCGCGAGCGCACGCCGAACCCGGACCCGCGCCTGCGCGTGCCCCCCGTGCGGATTGACTCGCGCCCCGCGGACCTGCAGGAGCAGCCGTTCGAGGAGGTCGCGCCGTACTGCGTGTCCGCGAACGACCTCGTGAACCCGCTCCCGCTGTCGATGTTCCAGGGCACGGGCTGGGCGGCGTTCCACCCGCCCGCGGGCGCCGCGGAGCTCTCGTCGCACGCGCACTACTTCTACTCGTCGCTGCCGACGAGCCGGTTCCGGGTGAGCATCCAGATCGGCGCGGGGGACGTCGCGGTGTACTACGTGAAGGAGCCCGCGACGGAGGTCGGCGCGGGGAGCGCGGTCGAGTGTCAGGTGGACGACAACTACGCGGGCGCGGTGACGATATACAACTCGGGCAACGTCGGGGAGCCGACGCCTACGTGAGTCGTCCCTTTCTTTTATTTCTTTTCTAACTTCCGCCGGCCGGTGTGCTGACCGGTGCCGGTCTTGCTGCTCTAGGCTGCAGATCATCGACAGGCACGTTCCACGAGGGTCGCACTACGTCGAGTGCCAGCTGCTGGGCGAGGAGGACGACCGGAACGTGCCCGCCTTCAAGATCATTGGCATCTTCGCAACATGAGCGGCCGTGGTAGAGAGGGATGACAACGTTTGGGATGATGGCTTGGGTGCTGGTACAGGCGACTATTTTTCGTCTGGCTGGACATTGACTTGCTTACGACAGTTATGCGGTATCTCTAATTGCCGATGGTTACTATCACGGCAGGGATTTGTATATTTCCAGCCGGAGAAAAGTCTTTGAAAAGGGGACGCGCGAGGCAAACAATCCGTAAATATGTGGCATTTCTGGATAACAGTCATCGAAAAACGACGGGCGGTTGCCTGTTGCGTCCCCAATTCATCGACTTTTCTCCATTCGAAAATATCCGATTCCCTGCCGTGTATGCTTCTAGCTAGACGTTAGTGAAACAAATCCGATCATTAGACTAGCAACAAGTCTGTATAGACGCCCACTGCTCGTATATGGATAATGTCATGGTGTATCCGTGTATGGGCTTAGAACAGGCAGAAAAAGGTTCTAATGGACATTCAGGGGATTGAACCCTGGACCTCACGCATGCGAAGCGTGCGCGCTACCACTGTGCCAAATGCCCATATCAAAGATAAATTCAAGCGTAAACCAGACCAGCCCGCCTGATAGTACAGCCGTCGAACGGAAAACAAAGCACGGCAGGGATCCAGATGCTTTCGACTGGGGAGAATTCGATGCGAAGAGGACGCAGAAGGCAATCGCCTGCTAGTCTGAAAGACTTTTGTCTGGCAAGGCAGCGTTTGCGTCCCCTCTTCATCGACTTTTTCCGGATCAAACACGCCCAATTCCCTGCCGTGAAAACTCAGTACTCAGTACTAAGTATTTACGGGTTGAGACTGCCCACCTAGACCTTATTGTTAGCACTGCAAGTCTGGCTGTCGCCAAAAATGCTTGATTGTCGCTTGTGCTGGCACTGGCATGTTCAGGGATTGCATTCTCGTAAGTGTCTCACGGTATGGAGTCGCTTAGCAGTCATGGACTTGAACGGCTCCCTCCGAGGTGCCATCTCCCTCCCCCCTCATGTTAGCGTACCTCAGGATGATCCCCCTGGCCTCCGCTGAACGAGGTTTGATAGTGCACCGGTAGTCTGCAGGGTAGCTTACGACATGGCAAGGGCATGAACACGTCAGGCACGAAGGGATCAAATCCGGGCGACATACGAGAGGAATCCGACCGACATCTCTGGCGTGATCACGACGGTGCGACCCTCTTCATCTAGTGGTGGCGTAATGTCGAAGACATGCAGAACTGATGCGATGTTGATGAATAACGCGTCTTCAGACTTCTGCAAAGTATTTACCGGGGCAAACTCTGCGAAGATACATGAGCATGGTGAGGGAAGTAGCCGCAACCAAGAAACGTACCTTCTGCCAAATCTAAAGACAAATGTTGACGGATCGCGAACGGACGCGTCGAGCATCCCATCGCGGATGAAGCGTTCAGGTCGGAAGATGTGTGGATCTTCGTATACATCTGAATCATGCATGCACGCCCTGGAGGAACACGCGTCATACGTAGGTATTGGAACGAAGATGCAGCCCAATGCTCACCATATATTCGGCAACAGAGTTGTGCCAGCAGGGATGAAGTAACCACAGATTTCGTCGTCATCGATGGTGGAATGTGGGAGGCCAAGCGGTGCCACGTTCTGCCATCGCAGCGTTTCTTTGACGATTGCTTGAACGTAGACCAGAGACTCCTTGTCGGAGAAATCCGGGAGGCGTTGAGAGCCAACAACGGACTCAAGTTCGGCTTGAGCCTTCCGCTGGACTTCGGGATGCAGAGACTTGGCAAGGAAGAACGATTGGAGGGTGGAGTAGGTCTGCGGGTTATGGGGATCAGAGGCACATCAGCTTCAGATTCGACGAGGGAAAGCTGGGACGCTCCAGAAACTGACAGTGTCAGCACCGCCTAAGGATACAAGCAGTCAGATCGCCCGTTTCAAGAGCATGTTCCTGAGGAGTCTGCGATGATGTGTGCACATTCAAAGACAGTGAGACCGATGGCTTTCGCAATGGCTTCCATCCCGTATGTAGTCCCGATCGATTCGCCGTCTTGCCATCGAGCGAGTAGCTTGGCGATCACTATCTCGGTGTGCTCACTCCGCATCTACGAGCATGCCCAGCAAGAAAGGTGAGCGGGATTCCATTCGAGTCTCCGAACGAAAAGCATACCATTATATCCTGTACAAACGCAAACGTCTCATCCTTCGCCGAATATGCTCACTCCTTGAACTTCTGCTCCCAACCAGCTCCAGGCATCCACGCTGGGATGTGTCGTAAGATTGGAAGCATTTCGATAAGCCATTTTCCTGGGATCAGTCCTTCATGGATGCCCCCAAGCGCTGAGTTCACACTGAGAGTGTACTTGTTGTTATCCTCGGCTTCGATACCGAACATTATCTTCAGGACTGTTCTGACTAAAGTGCTGCAAGATGGTGATTCAGATTACGCTCCATGTAAGGTCAGTGAATGGCGGCCACTGACTAGCGTATGTGAGTGTCCAGCTGTGAAGGGTCCCGGAGAAGCCGTGCAAGGAACATATGTGTTCTCTCTCGGTGCACAGGGTCATATGCCTGAACCGCACGGTGTGTAATCTATTGCCATAAATAATGCCTACCGAGTCTCCATCGTTGGCTGTATGGCATAAGCGATAGATTCGCATCTTGGCCTAGGCTGCATACATTGTTGATGTATCTGCAAAAGACCACGCGCCGTTGTACCTACAGATCGACCACAGGAGTACGCATTCAAGAGGAGGTGTTGACGGATGCTTCTCGAGGCATCCGGTGATGACGTCTGTTGCTCCAAGAACAACAATCGACTGCCCGAGGATCCGGAAATGAATGATATCACCTATGAGACCATCAGTGAGTGTTCCAAGTTGCTCACCGACTCCGTAGGCGGAGTATAGTGACATACCGTAGAGAGAGGAAAGATCCCGAAATGCCACCCAAGTGTTGAATCTCGGGAGATTGAACATGTTGCCGATGCTCGGGAGCTGGGTGGGCCCCGGGGGAAGTGAGCGTCCGCGAGCCCGCGCCCTCCATTTCACAATCGAGCGTACATAGAGAATGAATGGGATTATGGCTAGGAGAGCAGGACTGGCTGGCCGGAGATACTGTGCTGCATGGCGATACGACTGGGAGAGAGAAGGATGTTGACCACCGTATCAGTGTGCATCTATGACGATCCTAGCAGGGACGTACCTTCGCGAGTCTGCGACCATTCACCTGTGAGCTGCCTTGCTTTGAGAGGCTCACGACGTCCGCACAAACGACAACAGCACACTCTAGTGACGTAATATTCATAGAGCACAGGGGCTGCGGTACCAGCTTCCCATGCGTTGCGACCGAAAAGAACAGATCGTTTAGCTGATAAGGCGACACTTATCGATACTTCACCGTCTGCTCACACGACTAAGCGGGACACCAATAGGCTCGAAGTCTACCGTGGAGCTGAATGATGCGATGTTAGCACTCGCATTGGCTCCGACATGGACGGTACGCCTACGAGTGCCACAATGAGTCTCCAACAATGTCTCTCGAGAGGTCGCAGAATTAGGGACACTTTCGACGAAGAGGAAGCCACCGGGCTCCAGGGGCAGCGACGACCCGCGAGAGAGCTTGAGACTCGTTGGGAACGGAGCCCCGGCCGACTCCTCGAGGTCTGCGAGCGAGCGGAAGCAAGAGCTAGCCGATGGTATTCCCGTTGGGCGCGGCACTATACGAGATTTGGCTACAACCAAACGTGCAGTGTGGGGCGTATGGGAAGGATTGTCCATGAGAATCCGTCATAGCATTCATCGTCGTTGACGTTCGGAGATGCAAGCATGATGTGCCGACACGGGAGTAGTGGTCGTTTTGACATTTTTGACAGAGTATCCTGGACAGGCACCGGACGGACCTCGGGGTCGTAGATAAACGTCCTGTACGGGTCCGGGCGGCAGCGTGCATCTGTCCGTCATTTTCGTGCATATCGTAGTCCTCAGAGATGAGATTGCCCTCAGGAGTAGAGTAGCCTCAAGCTCATCGTCCGTCATGGTACCGGCGTGGGGGATGAGCATTCGTGTAGACGAGAGGATTGGTCGACGAAAGTTGGGAAGATGAACAGGTCCAGCGACGTCCTCGAGCTCATCCTGAGCTTTATACAGGATGTAAGAATATAGCGACATGGCCAGAAAAACAGGCAGGACGGTGGAAATCCGTGGGAAGTCGTTGCATCGATACCTCAAGCACAGACCAGGAACTACGATGAACGTGCTGTGTCTGCACAACCTACAGTCTTTAACCGGTCCTTCGGACACCATGGGTCCCTCGGACGCTCCCTCAATCCTGCGTCCCCTTCGGCTCCCTCTTCAATTCTGTGTATCTCAATGTCATCCTATGGCATATAGTACACTATTTATTGATTTTCGTGTGCTCGCGTGGTCTATACAAGAATATAAATTAACATCTCCACCTAAAATCTGCCATTTTGGGGTTGTTTTGGCTTTTGTGAGCAACGTCGTTGTTGCGGTCTCTACAGATTGACATGGTATGTCAATGGGTGTCTTAATTTGACACCGCTGTGATTTATATACTTATCGTGCTTAGAATGTGCTCACCAATGTCGCGATCTTACGAGCGACTGAAGGAGACGTTTGGCGAATGAAGCGCTCGGTCACACCTTCTAAAAGCGACGGAAAGGAGCAGGAGGATGATGGATGTTGATTACCATATCTAGGCCTGATTAGATTATAATCGTCCCGTTGGGTATATCTATACGTGACTGTGACTGTCCGAAGGACTGAGGGCCCACTGATAACAGTTCCCGACATAAAACCTTCCGATCCCCTATTGTATGAAGACGATAGGTGAAAAAACACTTTCAAGTTGTACTATAGACATACCGAAAACATATCTATTAGTCCGATTTTCAATCTCTCCTC